CAGCCACCCACCGGCAGGCCACACTTTCCGCAGCGGCACCGACCACATCCTCCCAGGACGCGGGCTGGGAAACACACGCCAGTCCGGCCACGGAGCGCAGCCCACTCCCGGGAGGCAGCGAGCCCACGGGGCACAGCGCTTCTCCGGGGACGCGGGTCAGCCCTTCTGCACCCCCCACGGGAGTGTCCCCGGCGCTCTCCCGCCCAGCGGCCTCCTCCCCCGGGGCGACGGCCCCTGCCGGGCTCACTCAGTCCACCGCCCGGCCGCCCACGCCCACGGCAGCCAGCACCAGCGGGCCGGCGTCCGCCCAGGCACAGCCCGCCTCCGCAGGACTGCTTGGCACGCACACAACGGGCTGGGCTCGGACCTCTCCTACTACTCTGGCGATATTCCCCTTGTCCTCTTCCTCCATATCTCCGACCCCCTCTTTCAATGTGCACAGCACCAGGTCAGGCATTGATTTTGGCCATATTACTTCCATGGCAACAAATGCTAAAGATCCTTGGACTCATAAAATGTCCTCTTCTACCACAGACGATACCTCCGTGTCCACAGTCTTGCCTACACTGTCAGGTAATGAACAGCTTGAGCTTGAATCACCTTCTCCTTGTAACAAGCTTCATCCCTTTGTCAGTTTACAGGAGATTTCAACACAACTCTTTTTATATCATTCTCTACATGTGGTGGACCCCTGGCACAGCCACCTGGGATTCCGACATCAGTGTCCCTTTCTGTTAAGGCATTTCTATGGGTGGACATACTCCATCTTTTTCCTCAACCCTAGATCTTACTCTGGCCTTTGGAATCTTGAAAGCTTCATGAAGAGCAAGTCATATCTCTTTTTCCCAGCCTTCCTTCTTTTTTTTTTTTTTTTTTTGGTATAGGGAATCATACCCAGGACCGTGAGCTTGCCAGGCACACGCTTATGCCACTGAGGTATATCATCGGCCCCTCCCAGATTTCCTTCTTGTGTCTATGTCAGCATCAGCTGCTGTCAGCCCTAGGTGTCTAATTTGCTCTTCCTCTCTTCCTCAGATACTTCCTCGGGTGCTACTCCTGGGCTGTGCCCTGTGTATCGGACAGTAGCACTTATGAAGGATCCTTTTCCTGCTTGTACCTTTAGGGCCTAGCAACTGTACCAAGAGCACATCTTTCCCACCCATTTATCACTCCAGACTTAAGGACAATGTTGACTGGTGATGTTTTCAAGTGCTTTTATAGTTCCTCTACTTAAAACTGTGTTCCCAAATCTGGACCCATATCTCCTAAATCCTCATGCATGGCCACTCACAGAAAATATCCTTTTTTGATAGGTAAATGCAGTTAATTTGGTGTTTATGTCAGTTGTACATGCCAGCATGTGCACTGGGAAAAGACCAATAAGGCAGTAGTCAAATAATTGTAGTAACATAACGTGGTAGGTGTTCCAGCGTATTACTAATATTAATGACTGCAAATGCTTGTTGAGCCTTTATTCCATATCCAGCACTGTTTTGTTGAGATTTTAAAATCCTTATTGTTAAATTATTTAAAGCAAGTTCTATGACCAGCCTCTGTTTCAGGTGAGGAGACTGAGACCCAGAAATGTTAGTTTGTTCAAGTCAAACTAAGAAGTGAGACATCTTCTATAAGAAGGCAGAGTATGCAGCACTAGGAATCCTTGCTCTTAATCATTAGGCTATACAGAAGTGATTAGAAAACTGGCAGGAAATGTAAAATATTCTGGCTACACAGATGCCACAGGAGGACACAAACTGAGGGAGAAACAGTAGTTCTGCCAAACACCACAGAGCAGCCACAATGAAGTGAGGTACAAAGTGTTTTGATGATCTGGGGACCCTCAGAGGTTTTAACGAAGGGTGTGTCTGGCTCCTCTTTAGGCATAGGAAACAATGCCTAAAATAATAGTTATGCAATAGCTAAAATAATGCAAGATGTGACTGCAAAATATGGTAAAACTTTAAGTTAAAAATTCATTACCATGAAAACTGCAGTCATTAATCCTCCTCAAACTACTCCCTCTTGCTTCGAACACACTTACCCCATAGCTGTTATCACTTTCTGAAGCAGTTCTGGAAGTCCTCTTTCATCAGTGTCTTTATTTCCATTTCATGGTGGAAATGTTCTGAATCAGTTTAAAGCATTTACCTTTCAAGGTCATTTTGACGTTGAAGAGGAGCCAGAAGTCACATAGTGCCAGATTCGTTGAATAAGGGGGATGAGAACACATTGTGATATTTTTATAAGCCTACCTTTTCTTTGGATGTCACTATCCATACTTTTGGTTACACTTTATAAAGACATGCGAAAGAAGACTTCCAGAGCTGCTTCCAGAGGCAGCAAGAACAATGGGATAAGAGCATTTGAAGCAAGAGGGAGTGTTCTCAAAGGGAATCCGTGACAATGGATCTTTTCCTTGCTGTAATAATTTTTTAGAATGGATGAATAGAAGAAAGAAAGAAGGGCTGAAATAAATAAAAACAAAAAATGTGAAAAGAAAGGTAAAATGAAGTAAAGATAAAAGGAAAGGGAAATTAAGCAAGGAAATAGGGAAGATGCATTGAAGAATGGTCGGTCTGAAGAAAAGATAAAAGAAGGTAGCAATGGAAGGAAAGATGCTCAGATGTAGACATGGATGGAGGGAAAGATGGACAGCTCTGTAGATAGATGCTCAGATCTGTGGGTGGGTGGGACCATTTATCGTAAGTATCCTTGGCTCAAGTTGCTACAGATACACCTGAGAAGTAGAGGGATAGACAATGAAGTGGCCCGTGTAGATAGTGCACTCCTCTGAATGAGGTGAGTTACCCTAGTTTTCTTCTCCCCCTCACCTATAGGAATCGAGAGCACTGTGGAGCGCATCACATGGCTACCCAGTGACACAGCACACGGAGGCACCGTGGGGCCAATCCGGGGTCCTCTGACATTCACGGCTCCTGCTAGTCCTAAAGGTAGGTTCTACTTTGCTTATTTCCTAGTAATCCCAATTGTGCCCTTATTTTCTGATCTAGAGAGAGAAAATTCTTACTTCCTTTAGATACAATTCCTGTTTTCTTTATGTGACTATCATGCATTCCTCTGTCTGAGCTAGATCTTTGTGGGTGCTACCACTTTTTATTTTAGTCACAGCATGTTGCATGAGTTTAGCTCAGTGTCAGATATATCAACCTAATAAATTTGACAGATAATTAGCTTAACTCTAAAAATATTTATTAATAACTATGTGTCAGAGACTACTATTTGCCAAGGGTACACAGATGAAATGTTGTGGCATTTGTGTATGGAGCCCTGAGTCTGAGAGGAAAAACAGCAAAAGAACAAAATAACTATGATATAACTTTAAAAGCATGTAATGGAGATGTATTGAACTATAGAGGGAAGGTATCAATGAGGAGGTAATGTGTGAATTGGGTTTTAAAGGATAAATGGGAGTTTACTAGAAAAAACAGAAGGAGTTGATGAAGACTTTCTGCATGGAAAGCACAACAGCATGTTAAATTACAAAGAGGAATAAACCCCAGAAATATTTGGGAATTACAAAAAACTTCACTTTGCTCAAGTATATGTAAGGCAATGAGTGGGAGATAAAGCCAAGTGTGAACATAAAACAGCATTCAGAAAACCTCCTAAGCCTTCGTGATGCTTGGATGCTTTCTAAAAAAAAGGACAAGAAAATCTGTAGTCAAGAAGTTTAGTAAACATACTGCTTCTTCTTGGACAGTCATAGCATGCATACCATTATTTGACAGCATAACCTTTTCCTCTGAAAGACGCCTAATAGATTCATTGTTCTCTGTGAATGTTTAAGAATTTGGGTGTACATAGAAAGGAGCCCTCCTCAGCATGGGGCAAAATGGTAATGCTTCCCATATCCATAAAGTCCTTCTGGAATTGTGTAGAGACCAGCTTATTTTACCAACTCATTTGGAAGAGTTTCCCAAGATCCAGGTTTTTGACAGACTGCAAATAGGACTACTGATTTGTTTACCCTGTGATCCAGGCAAATTAAGTTGGTTATTACAGGAAGTAGGCAATGAATCAGCAATGTAGGGATAAGTAGTTTATCTTAAATTGGGGATGGTGTTAGGAGGCACTGATAGAAGACATGGAGAAGAGAAGGAATCTAAGAGAAGGTGCTTTCTTGAGCAAATTATAGTGGGCAGCAGAGTACTCATCCTTCAGAAGACATCTGAGAAATTGTAGGACTATCAGTGCTATCCTACGGAGCAAGGTGGCTGGGCTACATATCCAATTCCCACTATGACTATGTGCTCCCATGGGAAAGAGCCCCTAGCAGTTCCAGTCTGCTATAACACAGGCTGAGTGAAAGCTCTTGGTATGGAGTCATTGAATGGGACATGAATGGGGACATAACAGAGTCAGTCAGATCAGTCACCAGAAAATGCACCCCCAGGCTTCAGGTGCTGACTACTTCAGATGGCAAAATGTACAGGGGATTCCCAGCAGTATACATAAACTTCATTTAATAGACGGCAGAGTTCCTCAACTTCTGTTCCTGATACGTTGGGCAGGTAATTGTGGCGAGGGGCTGTCGTATGCATTATAGGATGTGTACTGGCATCCCTGTATTCTGCTGGCCAGCCTTACCTACATACACTCAGTTGTGACAAGCCAGAATGTCTCCAGACCTTGCTAAGGGTTCCCTGGAGGCAAACCTACCCCTGGTTGAGAACCGCTGAGGAAGAAAATGCTGGTTAAGACCTGTCACCAGATGAACATCTTCTACTCTTTCCATACTGGCCCTATGATTCTAAAGTTCTGTTAGGGGATTAATGTAATGCAGTAGGTAGGAGTATAGGTTTACAACTCAGACAGAACTGTATTCAGATTTTCCAGTAGGTAGATGTTTGACTTGGGCAAATTATGATCTCTGAGTTTGCATCTTTTTCTCCGATAAAATCACAAGAATGATAGAATGTGCCATGTACTGCTCCTGTGAGGATCAAACCAACAGCACAAAATGCCTTCGCAGCAGCTCTTCCTCTTCCTCCTCTCCTTCCTCCCCCTCTTCTCTTTCCCTCCTCCAATCCCCTTTCACCCCTTTTTTATTCTTCTCCATCTGTCCCCCTCTCTTTCCCTCCTCTCTCTCTCAACTTCCATATCCCCCTTCCTCTTACCCCTACTTCCTTAGCCTCTGTCCCCTCTTCTTCCCGTCTCTGTTCCTGCTTCTCCTTCCCCTCCTTCCTCCCACCTTCCTCCTCTTTCTCCAGGCGTCTCCTCTCTTTCTCCTTCACCCTTTTCTTCATTCTACTCTTTACTTTTCTCCTGCTCTTCACCACCATCACCACCACCACCATTATACACACGAGTGCATTTCACAATGTCATCACTCCACTATCAGAGTAAAGTCCCCTTCATGTTGTCTCCTTCTGTCTGTACCAATCTATAGTAGCCTTTGTGCTCCTCATAGAGTTGCCTCCCTCTTCCCTAGAACACATTTCCTGAATCCCTCTTCAGTAGCTGCCATCTCTGTCTATGCTATTTTACCTGTGTTCCAGTCAGTAGACCACCTCTGGAAATGGAGCAACTGTACATAGCTAGACTTTAGATATGAGAAAATGGATATGTAAGTTTGGTAGCCTAAAAACCTATACATTTCTGTAATGAAAAAGAGAATGTTAGTATAGGACAGTTTTATTCCAGAGCACAAGTGCTCAAGAACATGATACAAGGGGTTGAAGAGAGGGTAGGGGAATAGGGAAAAAGTGTTATATCATGTATAGGTATAAATTCCCTACAAGGAATGTGATAACTATATATCTAAAATGCACCAATAAAGTCTGATTAATAAAGAACATGATAGACAACAACTTTTTTCCATCACATGGTCAGCAGTCACACATTAAGAGCTGTTACTATTCAGACTGTCAGGGGGCAGTATAATACAGGTTCTGACAGTGTGATACGGTAATATGGAGAAGGTGGAAATGAATTCTGAGATGGATTTGTGAAAGTGGGTTTGAACTTGGGTTTCAGTAAAGGAAGAACTGAATGAAGGGCTCTAGTGACAGTAGAGCGTGTCAGGCAGAGAAAAGAGGCTGAGAGGCTGGGTAGTGCAGAGAAGACTTGGGAACAGGGAGCAGAGTAGTGTGGTCACAAATTTAGAAGCGGTAGCTCAAGATTTACAGGTAAGTAAGGTAGGAGAATACCAATCACGATACCTCTTCCCACTCCAGAAGCACCCAGGCACATCTCAGGTAACTCAGAAAGATTTCTCTCCCTTTCTTCATGTGTAAAAAAAATAACCTATATCAGCTTTGATAAGTATAATCATTTTGTCCAAATTGTGTGCCTCCCCCAATTTCCAGGACTTTCCATGGGAGGAACTGAAAGAGCAGAGACCGCTGCTAAGGTGCTGAAGACCACCTCCACTGCCAGTGTGACCTCCGGGGTCTCTATTCCTACCTTGAGAACACTGACTATCCCAACATCAAAACAAACAGCCAGCACAAGCACAGGAGGAATAACCACCGCAACCTCAACTGTTGCTCCTGGTGTTCCAGAGATGACAGCCTTACTGGCTATCCGACATCGAGAAGATACCAGTGTAACAGTTTCCAAGGAAACTCCATCTCCTTCCAGTGGAGAACCAGAGACCACTGCCTCAGTGGTCCCCAGTCCTGGGGCAGAGACCGGGGCAGCTACCCAAACTCCAACTGTGTTCTCTGATGAGTCACACACAGTGGTCTCATTGATCACTCATCCTGCAGAGACGAGGATGCCTGTTTCCACAGCAACCTCCAAATTTCCCCATTCTGAATCAGATGCCACACTCTCTGTGAACACCAGTCCCGGGACAGAAACCAGTTTGGCCATTCCAACAGCCACTATCTCACCTGTTACACCAGGAGGGACAACCTCACTGGCCACTATTTCTAGGACACACACTGGCTCAGCTAAACTGACTCGGACTCCTCCTGATGGACAAGGGAGCACAACCTCCTTGGCTGCTGATCTTGGAGCACAAGGCTCAGCCATTACACATTCAACTGTCTCCCCCGGTGTATCTCAGATGGGGACATCACCAGGTAGTAGTTCTGGGACAGAGACAAGTACAGATAGCCAAATTCTGACTGTTTCTCCAAACTGGATGGATATCACAGTTTTAAGGGTCACCCCATCTGGAACAAAAGCCAGTTCAGCAGTTCCAACTCTGACTATTTTGTCTGGTAGGTCACGTACCACAACTTCATGGGTTACTCATTCTGTAGAGACCAGCCCAACAGTTCGCAGGATAACCCCAGATTTTCCCCGTAGTGAATCTAATACCACACCATTGATAACCAGAAGTCTTATGGGCGAAACCAGTCCAGCTGTCTCTGCTTCCACTGTTTCAACTGGTGGAACAAATAAGGTGACGTTGTTGGTCACTAGTTCTAGAATAGCAATCAGTACAAGTATTCCAAATCCAACTATTTCTGCTGGTGTACCAGAGACCACATCCTCATTAGTTACCCATCCTGGGCCACAGACCAGTTCAGCCATTCCAACTCTAACTGTCTCTCCTGGTGTACCAGGGACAATGACTTCATTGGTCACTAATTCTGGAGAAGAGAATGGTGTGGTTCCAACCCTGATGGTTTCCCCAGGGCAACCAGAGGTTACCGCCTCATGGGTCTCCCATCCTGAGTCAGAAGCCAGTTCTTCTGTTCCTATACTGACCGTTTTAGCAAGTGAGGCATATACAACAGCTTCGCTAGTCACTTATCCCACAGAAACCAACTCAGCTGTCCCCCAAACAACCCTAAGTGTTCCCCATAGTGAATCCAATATGACACCCTTAACCACCATCAATCCTGCGGAAAAAGTCAGTTCAGCTGTCTCAAGTTCTACTGTTTTACCTGAGGTCCCAGGGGTGATGACTTCGTTGGTCAGTAGTTCTACAGCAGTGGCCAGTACAGGTACTCCAACTCTGGCTCTTTCTTCTTCTGAGTCAAAGGTTCCACTCCCAGGGGTTACCTATCCTGGGGCAGTTTCCAGTTCAGCTGTTCAAACCCTGTCTATTTCACCTGGTGAGCCAGATCCAACAGCCTCACTGGTCATGCTTCCTGCAGAGACCAGCCCAACAATTCCCAAGACAGCCCCAGATTTTTTCCATACCGGATCCAATACCACACCTTTAACATCCACCAGTCCTGAGAAAGAAGCCAGTTCAGCTGTCTCAACTTCTGGTTCAGGGTTGCCGACTTCATTGCTCACTAGTTCTGGAACACGGTCCAGTATGTTTTCCACTCTGACTGTTCTCTCAGGCCAACAAGAGACCACAGACTCATGGGTAACCCATCCTGGATTAGAAACCAGTTCTTTTGTTCCAACTTTGTCTGTCTCTTCTGGTGAACCAGATACAACTGCCTCCTCGGTCACCCATGCTGCAGAGACGAGCTCAACTGTTTTTATGACAAGCCCAAGTTTTTCCCATAGTGAAACACAATCCACAACCCCAACAACCATCATTCCTGGGGTGGGATCCAGTTCAGCTGTTTCAACCGCAATTACTTCATCTGTCGTTCCAGATGTGGTGACTTCACAGGTCCCTACTTCTGGAATAGATCCCAAAACAACTAAACCAACTCTGATTCTTTCCCCTTCTGAACCAGAGATCACGACCACATTGGTGACCTCTGCCAGGACACAGACAAGTTCACCCATTCCTACTCTGGCTGTCTCCCCCAGCATATCGGAGATGACCTCATTGGTCTCTAGCTCTGAGACAGAGACAAGTACAACAACTCCAATTTCAACTGTTTCCTCAGATCAACTGGATACCACAGCCTCATGGGTGACTCAACCTGGGTCAGTTGCCAGTTCAGCTATTCCAGCACTTTCTATTTCCCCTGGTGTGGCAGACATAGCGGCCTCATGGGTTACTCATGCTGCAGCGACCAGCTTTCCAGTTTCCAGCACAATCCCCTATTTTCCCCATAGTGTATCAGACACCACACCCTTGATGACTACCAGTCTTGGGGCAGAAGCCAGCTCAGCTGTTCCAACTCCTACCATTTCACCTGAGGTACCAGGAGAGATGACCTCATTGGTCACTAGTTCTGGGACAGTAATCAGTACGAGTACTTTAGCTTTGACTCATTCTTCGGGTGAACCAGGGACCACAGCCTTAATGGCCACCCATCCTGGATCAAGTTCATCCCTTCCAACTGTGGCTGCTTCCCCTGGTGTGTCAGGGATAGTGACCACATTACTCACTAGTTCTGGGGCAGAGACAAGTACAGCTTATCCAGAGTTGACTGATGACTCACAAGAACCAAAGACTACAGCCTCCTGGGTCACCTATTCTGGGTCAGAAGCCAGACCGGCTATTCCAACTCTGACTGTTGTGCCTAGTGAGGCGGATACAACAGTTTCATTGGTCACTCATTCTGTTTTCACAACAGCCCCAGAGTTTCCCCAGAGTGAATCAGACTTCACATCCTCGATGACTACCAGCCCTGGGGCAAAATCCAGTGTAGCCGTTCCAACTACAATGATTTCACCTCGGATACTGGGTGTAGTGACCTCAGAGGTTACTAATTTCGGGACAGACACAAGTACAGTTACTTCACCTCTGACTCCTTCTCTTGCTGAAACAGAGATCTCAGCTTCAGCAGTCGCCTCTCCAGAGGCACAGACCAGTCCTACTGTTCCAACTTTCACAGTTTTCTCTGGAGAACCTGCTGCAACCTCGTCAGTCATTCATTCTTTAAAGACCAGTACAGCAGTTTCCAGAACAACCTCTGTTTTTTCCCATAGTGAATCAGATACCACACCCTCAATGGCCAGTAGTCCTAGGGCAGAAGCCAGTTCATCTGTGCCAACAATGATTGGGGAACCAGATGTCATAACCTCACAGGTCATTACTGGGCCACCAACCAGTGCACCTATTCCAAATATGACTCTCTCTCCTAGTGAGCCAGAAACCACAGCCTTATTGATCACCCATCCCACTGAAGAGACAAGCACAGAGTTTCCTGTTTCAACTATTGTTCCTCCCTCTTTGGAGACTGGAGCCCCACCGTCCATCAGACCTGAGGTAGAGATGAGCACAGCTCTTCCAACTCAGACTGCTTCCCTTGGTGGATCAGGGACAGCAACTTCTCTCCTCACCTCTCTTGTGACTGAGATGGGTAGAACTGATCTAGGCCCAGCAGTTTCATCTGGTATTCCTGTGGAAACAGCCTCATTGTCTTCTCCTCCCGGGGCAGAGACCAGCATGAGTACTCCAATGGCAGCCATTTCCCCTGGTCTGTCAGAGGCCACAAGTGCATGGGTCACCAGCCCTGCAGCAGAGGCCAGCACAGGCATTCCAACTCTGACTGCTCCCCCCAGTATCCCTTGGCTTCCCGGTACCTCTACAACAAATGAGCCTAAGACCATAACTTCCTGGAGCACAGAAACTTCATCACCCGCAACTTCAGGTGGACTCCCAGATTTTTCCAAAACTACTGTAGGCCCCACTAAGACCTCAGTAACACTGGAGATCTCAACACTACCTACAACCAGTCATGGAGAAGGAGTGAGTCCAACTGCTACCTTGAAAACTACAACTATGGAGACAACTCATTTAGCTGCCACAGGTTCAAGTCCCACCACGGTCCAGCTCACAGCCACCTTCAGTACTACGGCAGCTGGAAGTCCCTTTGCCTCAGAGACCACATCTGAGATGCACACCTTGGCTTCTGAGAGTGTGACTTCAGCAACAAGTAAGAATAATTTTTTGTCATACGGCAATGGCAAGATATATATGTGTGGGTGTTGCAAAATATTCAATTTTAGTATATGATTTAGCAGTATTAATTACATTCACACTGTTGTACAACCATCACCACTAAAGTTCCCAAAACTTTTTCCCTTCCCAAGGGGGGACCCATGAAGCAATAATTCCCCATCCTCCACCCCAAGCCCATAGCAACCTGTTACTGTTTTTCTGAATTTGACATACTAGACACTTCATATAATTGGAATCATACCACATTTGCTCTTTTGTACCTGGCTTATTTCACAGTGTGAGTTCAAGGCTCATTCACATTGTATTATGTGTCTAAAATCCATTCCTTTTATGGATAGGTATAATCCTTTTGTATGAACATAGAATATTTCATCTACCCACTCACCTGCTGATGGATGCTTGGGCTGTTTTCAACTATTGTGAATAATGTGGCAATGAGTATTGTTTTACAAGTGTCTATTTGAGCTCCTGATTTCAATTCTTCTAAGTATATTCTTAGAAAAGAAATTACTGGGTTATATGGTATACGGTATGGTTTTCCTGGGGTCCATAATAAAACACCACAAACTAGATGATTGAAGCTACAGAAATTTATTGTCTCATAGTCTTGCAGACTAGAGGGAAACACTGGGAAAGTGCAGAGAACATGCACTTTGGACTTATCCTGTATGAGGACTGAGATACTTCTGTTAGTTACCATGACAGTGGTGATCCCGGATCTGTTCATCCCCCACAAAACAAAGGTGCACATGCTGGTGTGTCCCAAAATGTAACAGACAAAGGGATTTGTAACTAGGGTGACCTACTCATGCCAGTGACCTTAACTGTCTCAATTTTATTCTTGCTTTTACTTATTTTTAGTAATTCTTTTAATTGTACAAATTTATGGGGTACAGTGTGATAATTCCTTAGGTGACGCAATGTGTTGTGATCAGATCATGACAGATAACATTGAATCTCCTGATATATTTTTGAAAGTTTTGATTTAGCACATGATAATTGTACATGAGGGGCGGAGCAGTGTGATGCTTCAATTCACGTGCGCAGTAATACTAATCAAGTCAAGGTAATCAATGTTCCCATCTGCCTACTGCTACTGCATGTTGGGAGCCCTCAAGTTCCTCTCTCCCACTTACTCATAAAACATGGGATGCGTTATTGTGAACGATAGTCCTTCTCCTGTGCTGTAGAACTTGAAACTTATTACTTCTATGTAACTGTGCTTTGGTAGGTATTATTCATTTACCTTCTATCCCTTCTTCCCCTATCTTCTCAACTTCTAGTAACCACTCTTACACATTCAGATCAACACTTTTTCACATCCACATGTGGGAGAGAGCACCCAATATTTGTTTTTCTGTGTCCAAATTATCTAACCTAGTATCATGTCCTATAGTTTTATACATTTCGTTGCAAAAGATGGGATATCACCTTTACAGCTAAGTAGTATCCCCATTGCTTATATGAGCCTCATTTTCTTTATCCACTCATCCAGTGATGGGTATCTAAGTTGATTCCATATCTTAGCACTTGTGAATAGCGCTACAGTAGAAGTAGGCATGTTGTTATCATTTTCTCCATATATGTCCCTCGAAGTGGGAGAATTCTAACTTTTGCAGCTGGAAGTCTGCATCCCAGTCTGCACCGAGTCCAAGCCATCTGGGATGGTGGCTCACCCTGTATAGGAAGATCTTGGGCAGTGATGGATGTTTGAGGCTTTTTCAGTAGCAGAGCTCAGCTGGGCACCAGAGTTAAAATGGTCCTCAGAGCCTTTCCTCTCATCTCCAGCCTTGGGCAGGACTCGGGACTGATCTCTTCTTATCCTCCTACTGCAGCTGAGGTCTCCTTGCTGAAGATTTTTACTGTCAACTTCACCATCACCAACCTGACCTTCCAGAAGGATATGGGGAACCCAGGCTCTGCGTTATTCAACATCACAGACAGGACCTTGCAGCTGTTGGTAAGAGCTCCCTACCAACTTCCATCTCATCTCAGTCCTGCTGTCTTAGTCACTCTCCTTGCCTCAGCAAGGCTGTGAGTGTCAGGTACTCACAGCCTGAAGGAGGACAGGTTTATTTTGGCTACAGTTCATGGTCACCTGGCTCCAGGGCAGAAATGGCTTAGCAGAAAGACGTAGCAAAGGGGAGGTGCTCATATCACAGTGGCTAGCAAGCCAAGAGACAGAAGAAGCTGGGAAGGGAGATACACCCTGCCATGGCAGGCCCCCAGCGATCACCTCCAGCCAGGCCCTACCTCCTAACAGCTCGCTGTGCACATTCAATGGGGTGCTGTGATCCAATCACCTTTCAAAAGGCAGATATCTGAGTGCATGCGTTTTGGGGGTCATTCTTGATCTAAGCCGTGACACCTGCCTACCTGCTGTCTTGAGCCCTCCTATTCATCTCTCTCGTTCCTCCCCAGCTCCATGCCTTGTTCAAGAGCAGCAGTATTGGTCCCCTTTATGAAGGCTGCAGGCTGACAATGCTCAGGTGAGACTCCTTTCATTGTTCCAACAGCAGCCCCAATTTTGTCCCTTTTGCCTCTCCATAGCCCAGGCAGCCCCAGCTACTTGGACTTTTGTTGACAGACGCTACAGAAGAGTGGACTCACAATCTGCTCTGACACTTGCTAGCTCTACAACCTTGGGCAAGACGTACAGTTTCCTATTCCTCAGACACATTATGTGGATAATAACAACAGTCCTTTACTCCTGGGGTCGTTCAGCGGCACAGCGCATGGCCCATTGCGAACACTCAGTGAATTAGATCTCATAGTGACAGCTGAGGTACAATTTTTGCCAATGCCACTCCCACAATCCCTGATATCCTCTCGGTCCTAGCCCATCTCTCCCTACTAGGAACAAACTGTGGTTACCATGGCTTTTCAGTTAATTCTGTAAGAACAGGGGAGGACTTTCCCAAAGGGAATCTTCCTGAACCGAAGAAGAAATGAACCAAATGTTGTACATCAGCAGGATATCTTACAATTTTAAAAATCTTGAGTGGACCCAAACATTCCACAGAAATGGCCTGTCTTCTCTGCCCAAGTCCCCTGTGTCTTCTAAGATCTCTGTGGTCAGCACCCAGCGCTTGTACTTCATCACCCTCTGGCCTCTCTGTGGACTCCCCCACCCAGCCAACTCAGACACTAGCAAGGAGGGCTCACTGCTCAGATCTACACACAGTCTCCTGAGGTTTCACAAATCACAACTGCCCTTAGCTGAGCACCCCTCCAGCTTGTTACCATCTCTCCACAGGATGAAGAATCCGCAGTAATTCCCATTCCTCTTCCCACCTGCCACCCAACAACTTCATGCGATTTATGGCTAAATGATACTCATGGTGTTTGTGTGGATGTGTGTATCACATTTTCCCCTTCATTTATTGATAGACATTTGGACTAATTCCATATCTTGACTGTTATGAACAGAGCTGCAAGATATCACCTCACCCCAGTTACAACATCTATTATCAAACAACAACAACAAAAAACAAATACTTTAAGGGGAACTCTCACACACTGTTGGCGGGAATATAAGTTACTACCACTATTAAAGAAAACTGTGTCACTGTTCCCTTAAAAACTAAAAATAGAACTACCCTATGTCCAGCAAAGCCTCTTCACTACTTCTTATTTTCTCTGTTTTTCTTCAAATGTAGCTGCTTGCCCCAAATGTCCTGAAGGGCTGAACCCAGCCTTGAGATTCCCCATATTGAGATAGAGTCACCCTTTCAGGCTCCACAGTGTAGCAACGATGGGGACAGCCGTTTGCATCCCACATGGTCTTTGCCCTTCACGTTTATCCTTTCCTCATGTGCCTGGTCCTCCCTGGGAGCTTTGAATCTCCATCTCCACAGCCCAAGCAAGACTTGGTTCTTGCTGGAGCGGACGCTATCTGTACCTAATTTCATGCATGAAGTTGCTGGGTGCTGGCCATTGTAACACTCAGCTTGAATGAATAAATAAAACAAGAATGAGTAGTCATTTAGAAGGCTAAGGAAGTAGAGTCACAAGTTTGAGGCCAGCCTGGATCTCAATGGCAAGCAGAAACAACGAAACAACACCCAGCATTTGGAGGCAGATTTATTTACATGGACAGGCACTGATCCGGATCATTCCCAGAATATCAGGCCCCAATCTCTGGTGGTCTAGGGCATACATTGGATAAGCAAGCAGGGAGTACAGAGGCAGAAAGGCTTGTCAAATGGGGACAGGTTTATACAACGTGCATCATAGCGACCAGCTAGTTCTAAAAGACAGGAGCAACTGGAACAAGAACAGGAACTGTTACCTTGGCAACTAAGAAACTGAAGTGTACTGGCTGGGGGCTCATTTTCTGCTACAGGATAACTTTACACGACCCTATTTGAAAATAAAAAAGAGTGACTGGTGTAACTCAGTGGGGTGATGGTTGAGATTCTGCAATCTACTGGGTTCAAACCCAGCACCACAAAGGGGAAAAGGAAGAAGGGAGGAAAAGAAAGGGGAGTCTAAGAAGTAGACTTCAGTAGCCCTGAAGAATACTCCATTGAAGGGTGTGGGGGATCTGGATCCCTAACTGAAACAGAAAAAGATACATTCAAGCAACAAAAGCAACCTAGAGACAGTGCTGATGTAAAAACAAAGGCGTGTCTGTTGCAGTCTGTTGAGAGTATCCCAATCTCCACATCTCTACCTATCCCTGTTCCCGTGTCCTTCCTGCCCCAGGGCTGAAAAGGATGAGACGAGCACCAGAATAGATGGAGTCTGCGCCTACAACCCAGATCCCACAGGCCCCCAGCTGGACAGAGAGCAGCTGTACTGGGAGCTGAGCCAGCTGACCCACAGCATCACCCAGCTGGGCAGCTACAGCCTGGACAGGGACAGTCTCTACATCAACGGTGAGTAGCTAGAGCCCCCCAGCCTCTGCCCTGCCATTTCTCCATACCCATGTCCACAGTCAAAGGCCAAGCTTGAACTTTCATAAGGAGCTCATTTCTCTCCCCTTAACACAGCCAGAAAAGGTCCTTTTAAGTGGAAATAAAGACTTCCTCCACAGCCTTTTCATCCCTGAGACAGTCACGGGGGCCCAGCTGGAGTAGCATAGTGTGTGGTCCAGGGAGGGAAAGGGGTAAAGCAAAACCCTAGTGGCTAGTGCCATTGATTCTCCCCCACCAGTTAAAGGCTCCTAACTGCAGTGACTCACTCGCAACTTTCTCTTCCTTGTGGCAGCCTGTGGCCCTTTATTCAATCTCCCAGGGACACCTGGAAGTACACCTGTCCTGGGAAACTATCAACAGAACTCTCCTTATGTTCTCAGGGGCAACGTCCTGCGCAACAGTCCTCTTAGCAACAGTGCCAACCGTAATACCAATAACAAAGGCTAATATTTATTGAAGAATTCCTGTGCTTCGGAACTTCATATATATTATGTCACACTTGCCTTACCCACTGTATGGGGCATTATACGTTATCTATGTTATTACTCCATGGACAACAAAAACAAACAACACCCCCAAAGCGGTGCTGAGGGCAGGGAATCCATTCTCATGACATTAGCCTGCAAATAAGTGATAGAATTTGAACTCATGTCCCAAACTAGCTCTCAAACGTAGGCACCCTAACTTCTATTCTATATTATTGACTAAGACAAGAGAAAGCCTGTAACCTCAGGATGAGACAGAATACCAAGGAGCCACCACTACAGTGATTTAAACTAATGAATTATTTGTTTTTGTTTTTGTTTTGTTTTTCTTCTGGTACCAGGAATCAAACTCACAACCTTGCACTTGCCAGGCAGGCGCTGTGCCACTGAGCTAAATCCCCAGCCCCACGAGTGAATCAATTGTTAGCTGTGGTCACCCTACCATTCTGTACAATGCTGCAATTTAGTCCTCTTATCCAACTGTGTTTTGATAACTGTTTCCCTTCTATCCTCCCCAGCTTCTGATAACCCTCTTCCACTTGCTTCTTTCTTTGATCAACTATTTTCTCAATCATGTCAGAGTGAAAACATGCAGTATTAGTTTTTCTATGCCTGGCCTATTTTACTTGACATAATATCTTCACAAAAATGCAAATCAGAACCATTTACCCTTTTTAAAATAGCTATTATAAAAAACAACAAATGCTGGTAGGCATGCAGGGAAAGCGGAGGTCTCATACACTCTTACTGGGAATGTAAAGTACAGCCAGTGTGGAGAACATTGTGGTGATTTCTTCAAAAACTAAAACTAAGCTGGTATGGTGGTACATGTCTGTAATCCCAGCTACTACGGAGGCTGAGGTAGAAGAATCACAAGTTTGATCCCAGTTTAGTGAGATCTTGTTACAAAATAAATAAAAAAATACAAGTGGCTGTGGATGTAGCTCAGAAGTAAAGAACCCTTGGGTTCAGTACCCAGTACTGCACAAAAAGCTAGACCTCCTTCTGATCTCACTCCTTTCCTAACCTTCTATCCCACTCTTTCCCCATCCTTCTGCAGGTTATAACCATCGGTACTGGATCCCCACCAAGAACAGTGAGTAATAATGACCCCAAAGTCTGTGTTCTTTCAGCACCTTTCCCCCTTGAGTCTGGAAGGTATCCTCTATCCCCTAGATTCTCAGCCCCAGAGAAGCCTCAGACCAGCAACAAGTCTCAGGCTTATCCCAGTTGACATTAACGTTCTATCACCTCATTGCCCGCTGCTCGGCCTCAGCAATCTTTGTTCGTGTTGTGTTTTCTTTCAGCTCCAATGACCTCCACATTTTCCCCAGGATCCTCTGCACCCATGACCTCCACTCCCAGTTCTACAGGTACAAATCTGATCTCTAGATCCCATGCAACTTTGACTCCTATTCAGAAACTGATTGATGCTTGCATGATCTAGACCTAACATCCACCCAGCCTCAGCCTGCCCTCTCTTTCCCTTGCTCCCTCCTCTCTGGCCACACCAGTCTCATCTCTGCTCCTCTATCATCCTTCCATCCTCGCAGTCATGGCCTTTGCTGTACTTGCATTTCAGCTGCTTCTGGCTCTTCCTGATCCTGCAGAGCTCACTCAGAATGTCTTTGCTCAGACCACGTCCATAAAGTAACATTTCCCCCATATACATGTTCCACACACAGCGAGTCTCTATTCTCTCTCTGTGCTCATTTCCTTCAGAGTAGTTATTACCATTTGAACTTCTTGACTGCTCAGGTATTTGGTGCCCAAAGCCCCAGAAATAAAGATTTTGGTTTCTTCTCTTTATTTTTACTTTTTCATGCTAGGAGTCCAAGCCAGGACCTTGTGTGTGCTAGCTAAGCACTCCACCACCAGCACCTTGGCTTCTCCTCTTAGCAAAGGATATCAGCTGCAGTCTTTGCCCATTCTGGGCTGAGGGACTGAGGTTTGCCTTTGACATAAAGTTCCACATCTACTATGGAGATCTTTCCCCTTCCTATGATGGGCTGAAGGGTGCTCCAAACAGGACTCATCTTCGCTTACTAGACACTGTGGCCATGATTACGGAATTAATCTCTCTCCCACCTCTCGCTCAGGTTTAGAGCTGATGCATTCTGCCAACTGATAGGTTCTCTCCCATCCCACCTCCTCTCTTCCCCTAGCTGTAGGAGTCAGCCCAGTCCCGGTGCCTTTCACGGTCAACTTCACAATCACCAACCTACACTACACCCCAGACATGGGGCGCCCAGGCTCCTTGAACTTCAACTTCACGGAGAAGGTCTTGAACCACCTGGTAAGGGCCCAACAGTGCCTACTCTGGCCCGCCTTGTCCTTGCTCTACACGGTCCCCTTGGCTTACTCCACTCATCTGCTTCTGCCCAGCTCGAGCCCCTGTTTAAGAACACCAGCATTGGCACTGGCTACTCTGGCTGCAGACTGGCCTTGCTCAGGTGAGACTTCCTTCCCTTACCTTGTGAAGGACTGCGCTGTCACAGGGAGGCTCACCTGAAGGAAAGGACCTATGTGTGACATCGAAAGGGAGTGAATTATAAATGACTAGGACTTTCCAGAAATTCAGGGATGGAAGGCATTATCCTAGCCTAAGAGCACCAGAGAAGGCTTCCTGGAAAAGGTGGCTGTCGGTGATCTTTGTTTGATAAGCAGAAATATGAAGCATTCAGGCTCACTGATCGAAAGGGTAATATTAACTCAGTAAGCAAACATGGAATGATGCACCTCAGGCCACCTCCTGTATGGGTGTGAAGGACATTAAGAGAATTGACCTTGAGCCATCCCCTCAGTAGTACCATGGGGTAGACGGGGCGGCAGAGACAGTGTGAACATTAGACTCTACATGGGGCCCAGACAGTGATTTTAGCTCACCCTGAGAAAGTTGGGTGGAGAATCTCTGCAGAAAATGATGGCTGAGCCAGGTTCTGATAGCTGAGGATGCTCTGACCTAAGGGAAGACTGGCAAAGGTTTCAAGGGGTGGCCCGTGAGAAATAGCCCAGTGCAGAAGACAAGTGCTGTGAAAGCAGATAGTAAGAGGTGGAGAAAACAGCAAATGAAGAATGAATGAATGAGTGGATGAATGAATGCATGCATGAATAATAAAGAAGGGATGGAAGAATGGGGAACAAAATAATGGAAGGGATGGAAGAAGGGAGGCAGGAAGGAAGGATGAAGGGAGGAGAGGAAGGAAGAAGGAAGGGAGGGAGGAGGTGGGAGAGCAGAGAGGGAAAAAGAAAGGAAAGAAGGAAGGGAGGGAGGGAGGGAGGGAGGGAGAAAGGAAGGAAGGAAGATACATGGGAAGAAGGAGGAAAGGGAGGTGAGAGGAGATAGTAAGAAAATGAATAGGAGGACGAAGGGAAGGAAACTGGTTGATTGGAGGATGGGCTGAGTGGACGGCTCAGAGCATAATTGCAAGAGCAGAGGGTGAATCACAATATGAGTGAATATCACCAAGAGTTCAGGCTGGAGTTGAGACTGAAGGAGTTTTCACAATATTCTATACAGCAACCAGACTAAGCACAAGGTCTCTTCAGTGTCCAAAGACATGAGGCCAAACCTGTTCCTGTCACCTGCTGTATGATATTTAATATCCATATGGCTTAGTTTTCTCAATTGTAAAGTAAGAATGACTATTGTTAATAATACTGCTTTATATACTTGAAACTTAGCTAGTGAGTAAATAGTAAGTGTTCTCAACACACGCACGCACACGCACACACACACACACATACCCCACAGATAAAACTATGTGAGGTAATGAATATGTTAATAGCATGGCTATGAATAATCACTTTATTTTTAAAAATGTATTTATTTTTATTAGTATACGTTCGCCATACATAATGATCCCATTCATCCTGAAGAATCTGTACCTGTACCATATCTTAATTCCTTTTTCACATTTCTAGCCCTTCCTCTCAACCCTATTCCCTCTCCCCATTTTCTCCTTCAATTCTGTGAGTAATCATTTTAGAATGCACACATATATATAATCATATTTCAATAGAATTATAAATTTAAAATAAAATGGGAATCATGTTAGCATCTATCTCAGAGTTGTTCAAAGGATAAAATGAGATAACAACTATAAAATGTTGAGCACCTGGTAGATGTTTTGTAAATACTAACATCTGTAGGGAGATGTTTCATAAATGCTAACACCCAGTAAGTATTTCATGGATACTAGTCAGTTATTCAGAGAGTGGGGAACCATGGTGCTGTTGGAAGTACAATCCTGTTATGATGAGATTTATATTAAGTGGAGCATTCACAAATGTGAGCAGGGATGGTTAAAATGATGGTGGACAGAAGAAGTTGGATAGACTACTGGAAGAGAAAGATGGGGGAAGGTCCAGGAGCCTTCTTGACCTATGGTTCTCATCCTGATATGGAATCACGGAAAGAGGAGAAGCTTTGGTAATGGGGAGTGGGTAGTAAGTTTAACTTGGGATATATGGAATCCAAGGGGTCTCAAAGACATCTCTGAGGCTGTTGGCTACATGAGAACGAGCTCAGGAGATAAGTGTCATTCAGAGTGACATTGGGCCTCATGATAATAGAGCTGGCGTTTGACACAGTGAAAATGAACCAAATGACCCCAGAAGAATGGGGACCAAAAGCAGAGAAGTTGATTACAGAGTGGAGCAGAGATGGATAAAGAGGACCCAGAAAGGAACATGATGGAGAAACTAGATAAGACCCAAAATATGAGATAGAATACAACCAAGAGGGACTCAATATGAAGGTGAGTGTGTATACCTCTGTCATCTCTCTCTCTGGACATCCCCATTCCTATGTCCCCATCACTCCAGGAATGAGAAGAATGGGGCAGCCACCGGAGTGGACACAGTCTGCACCTACCAACCTCATCCTATGGGCCCGGCTCTAGAGAGAAAGCAGTTGTACCAGGAGCTAAGCCAGCTGACGCACGGTGTCACCAGACTGGGGTCCTATGCCCTAGACACAGACAGCCTCTACGTCAATGGTGAGTGCCCGTGCTATTCCTGGGGTTTCCCACAGGCTTGGATCTCTCTGGGCCAGTGGTTCTCCACTGGGAATGACTGTGCATCCCATCTGGCAATGTCTGGAGATATTTTCATGTCATTCCTGGAATGGTGCTAATGGTGTCTGTTTGGTAGAGGCCAGGGATGCTGTTAAACATCCCACAAAGTACAAGCCAGCCATAAAGAACTAATTAGCTCAAGATGTCAGTGGTGCTAAAGTTGAAGAATTTCTGCTTGCAAACCTGTAGGTCTGGCACAAACCTAAATCTCTTTGGAGGTTCATTTTTAATGCTTAACACCCCAAAGAAGCTCATGTCTTTTCCTCTTTCGACTCGGGATGAAGTGTTTCCTCCTCATCCATATTCACTTCTGCTTCCTATAGGAGCCTCTCTGGAACATGCAGACGTTGAGGGGAAATGGAATGATGGAGGGTCCTGATGAAGTGTCTCCCAGTGTTTTGTGGGTGACCAGTTCAGCCTTCCCTTCACTCTTTTCTCATTGTTATGACAATTTAAGGCAAATTCTTAGTTCCAGAGGCCACCTGGAACTACACTGACTTTATGAAACGTTGGCACCTTTAGTAAATACACCCTGAAGAGTAACTGTTGACACATCCTTGGCAATACTGATGTGTCTCTCACAACAATCCTGACACAAACAATAGCAACCATTATAGCAGCTCATATTTACTGAAAGTTTCCTGTGTGCCAGGAATTGTGATACAAACTTTATTTGTACGGTCTCGTGTTAATCTTATCCAGTTCTCTGAGGGTTGTTATATTTGTTTTTACCTGGAACCACTATGTATTCAGGCAGTGTCTCACCTGCAATCCAGATGTGCTGGGGCAGTGAGTTAAATTCCCCAGAGACCAAAGAAAATACCTGGAGATAGCTTGTGAGAAATAAGGTGTATTAAAATATCATCAGAAATGAAAGGAGGCTTCCTAGCCAAAAAGAACAGAGCCCAGTAGTCTTAGGCTGGATAGGAAAGTTATTAGAATGTACTTGGAATATCCAGTGGCCACAGGCTAGACTAGTAAGAACCCCAAAATTGAACAGTAATGAAGTGGACAGAAAATTACCAGTTTGGTGGCAGCACGAGGACAAGGAAATTGCCAGAGAAAACTCAAAGTGTCCAGTGCTGGCCAGCTGGATTACATTACTCCATGATGCTCTGTCCCCACCCAGCTACTGCGGAAAGGGGCATTTACAGAGTGAACTATGCAGTAGGAACTTCATGACACTGTTTTGTCAAACTGTGTAACCAGCACGCCAAATAATAGCTGACTCAGCGCACGGGCAGGAAGGCAGTTTCTACAGATACCACTAATATGTCCAGTTCCCAGTAATCCTTAATTCTAATCCAGATATTCTAGTCTTTGTCAGCTTACAGTGTCCCTTTGACTTGGCAAGAGTTTGGGGAAGCCAAAGGGCCTGGGTCACTGACAAGATGCCACAGGCCTTAGTTTTTCTCAGGAACAATACAGGGACAAAGTCATTGGTCCAGGGTCATCCAGATATAACACATAGCCGAAGGAACACAGCACAAACAGAGCAAACTTCACCTACCAGGACAGGCAGGGGCAGCAATGGCCTCCAACAACCTAACCCAATGCATGAGTATTTATTTTTCTCCTATATCTACTTGGATATTTCTTTTCTATCTGGATTGAAGTGTATATGTTACTCTATTTTCTATAGTGCCTCCCGTTTCTGTGTCCATAAAAGGTTTACTCCTAAACTGGAGCTCATTTAGAGGCAGGGTTAACAGTATGGATCTTGTTAAGTGACAGATTTTGTGTGTGTGAGACTGGCACACCATGCAACTCATCTAGGTTTTAGTAGTGCAATTTCACAATGTAATAAAATACCATTGGGATTATTCTGGTAATCAAATGAGATAACTTGGGAGTGACCCTAGAACATTACTGGGCTCCTCTAGGTCCAGCATTTACTTTCATCTCTCCTAGGAGCTCAGATGAAATGCTTTCAATAATCTGGACAAAACTCATGAAAAACTCTATTTTCCCTAAAACCTTCTAGGCTCCCATTATTACTGCAGCCATCTAACCCCCAAGGCTCTCTTCTTTTACAGTATCCCATCCCTTTGCTCAAACTTTCCCTAGTATCCCAAACCACACACATATTCCTTCCCTCCATCACTCTATACTTCTGCCCCCATGTTCCCCTCTCTCAACCTGCCACAATTTTGTCAATTCTGCATCACAAAACACCAGAAGCTAAACTAAAAAATTATACTACCATAATATTTTGTGAAGGAAAGTAACCGAGACAACAAAGACAGGATTAAATTATTTTTACAAATAGAATATAAATAAGTTGAGCACACACACTCATTTATAAATGAGTACGTTTTACCCTTGTAGTGTGGGAAGGATTTTTGCTGGTGGATAGGGTATCGCCCTCAGTATATACAGGTATTTCTTACTGCATTTTATCAGTAAAAATAATAGTGGTGATTGTCATTATTATCAAAAGATGAAACATGTAATAGGGGCCAGGTAAAATGTAACCATATTATTTATCCATGAATCTCATAAAGTTTGTTGATGACTTCCATTCTAGATCTGCTATCTTCTCCTCCCTTTATCCTTACCTACCATAATACACCTTCCTTGCTCTTTTCTCCATATCTGCAGGTTATAACCGTCGACACTGGACCCCCACTACCAACAGTGAGTATTAAAAGCTGGGCTGCCCCAGTGCCCTGGGGACTCCTCCCCCCATACCTCTAGTCTGAGGAGAGACATTGATTGTATCTCCACCCTATGTACCTCAGAGCACCTTCACAATACAGCCAAGATCTTGGTTTGAGTTAAGATAGAGCCCAAATTCCAATTAACAGCATTTGCCTTACATGCTAGGATGGGACCTAATCATTGTTCCCATGTTCTTTTCCCTCAGCTCCAGTTCCCACCACATTCTCTCCAGGACTTTTGACATCCTTCATCCCCAGCTCTACAGGTAGGAATCTTCTGCATGGGGTTAAGAAGTTTCAATGCTGAGTGGTCTGGTCCCCACTCACCACCTGGCCTTAGCTTGTTTTGCTCTTTCCCTCACTGTCTTAGCTTTGGCCACCCCACACACTTCTAGCACCCTGACCTCTGTCCAACCTCAGCACCCTTGCACTTGCTATTTTTGGAAACCAGTTATCCTTGGCACTTTCTTATTTTCCAAACCTAAGCTCAAAAAGCATCACTTTCCCTGGATCACCTTTTATGAAAAAGTACTCTACCTGCAATCACACCTGGACCATGGGTTTTCTCTATCATATCATTTTGATAATTTTCCTGTATGGAATTTATTTCTACTTATTTTTTTCAGTTTTCTTGTATTTACCCCTTAACAGAAAATACAATGGCTGTTGCCAGAGGGTAGGGATAGGGGAAAATGGGACATATTGTTTAATGGGCAAAAGTTTTGGTTTTTCAAGGTGAAAATGTTCTGGATATCTATTTCACAAGTGAATATATTTAACACTATGGAACTGAACACTTACAAATGGTTAAGATGTAAGTTTTATATTGTGTATATTTTACCACAGTTAAAAACATTACTATATATGTTTTCAACATCTTTTACGGCTATTATGCCACCCTAAAAATGAAGCAAATTCTGACCCATGATACCCATGAATAAACCTTGAAGTCATCCTTCTAAATTAAAAAAGTTGGCCACAGCTTATTGTATGATTCTACTCATAGGAATATACAAAGCAGAGAAACTCACATAAAGTACAATGATGCTCCCAGTGGCTGGGGAGAGAAAGGGGAAACAGAGACCACTATTTAACATAGAGATTCCATTTTGTAAGATGAAAACATTCTAGATATTGACTGCATAACAAATTAATACAATCCACCCTTTGACCACAGGTACCCCAGGGCAGAGCTCATAATGAACTTCCCTCCTGTCTTTCCTACTGTAGGTGCAAGTCTATCTCTGGTATTCTTCACCCTCAACTTCACTATCACCAATCTGCATCATGAGAAGGACATGGAGTACCCAGGATCTGAGCTATTCAATACCACAGAGAGCATCTTGAATCGCCTGGTGAGAATTCTCCAGTGCCTACCTGTCCCAGCTCAATCTTGTCCCTACTCCTTTGGTACACTGGCTCACTGCATTCTCTGTCTTTCATCCTCAGCTGAAATCCTTGTTTCAGAAAAGCAGTATTGGGCCCCTGTATTCTGGCTGCAGACTGATCTTGCTGAGGTGAGAACAAAACAGTAGACCTGAAGGCCATGTGACCACCATTCATCCACCATCCCAGGGATAACTGACCACCAGTTCCCATTCTGTCTCCTTCCTTTCAAGACTGGAAAATGAAACTCACTCTTTCCTCCCATGGAAATACAGATGAGTGCTTCTATTAAGCACATGTGTCTGCGGAGTGCTGTTGGGTCTATACTAGTGCCTCATTTCACAGACAGAAAATGAGCCACAGAGAGGTTGAGAAACCTACCCAGAATGGCAGAACTGGGACTTCAGTGAAGTCACATTGCCTTCTTTCACACTGCCAAATTCCCAAATTCATTTCTTCAACCCACTTCACTATACTGCTGTCAGGGTATGTGGTATATTATGACTTTAAAATTTAGCACAGGGGCTGGGGATGTAGCTCAGTGGTAGAAGTGTGATTACCTAGTATGCGTCAGGCCCTGGAGTTGATCCCTAGTACTGCAAAAATAAAGATAAAACTAAAATTTAGCATAAACATTGGCATTTGTTGATTCCCTTCTTTATTCAGTGAAGGTACTGCGGCTGTGCTATTTGTTTGCAACCCAGTTCTAACACCAAGGACATTTGATTAGCCACCAGTCTTTCTGCTTTCTCTGTCCCCTTCTCTCAGTGGGGCTTTTCAGGGCCATAGCTTGGAGTCTCCAGCTCCCCATTCCTATGTCCCTCCCTACCCAGGCCTCAGAAAAACAGAACAGCCACTGGAGTGGATGCTGTCTGCACTCACCATCCTGACCCCATGGGCCATGAGCTGGACAGGAAGAAGCTGTACTGGGAGCTGAGCCATGAGACCCATGGTGTCACTGAGCTGGGCTCTTACACACTAGATAAGAACAGTCTCTACGTCAGTGGTGAGCATCCTTCTAGTAACCATGAGCTGAAGCTGAGAATCTTCCCCCAGGAAGAGGTGTGGGCTCTTCAGCTCATCACACCCCCAGCCTATGTCTCATCTTCTACCTGAGTGTCCTCCTTGGATGACTTAAGGGTACCTGTACGTCTCCCAGTTTGCAGGTCCTTTGTAACTGTATTCCAAGGTTGTGATTTGCACATTCATCTGAGCCTTTCTCCTGACACATGAAAGAGAAAATCCCTCCGACTGGAGGGGATTCAGGAGTCTGATCACTCATCCTTGTACCCTTTTATGCCTCACAATCCACTCCAGACATTTAAAAGCACAGTTTGCACATACATGTGGTAGAAATTTGTGTGTGTTTATCTCCTCAAATAAACTGTGAGCCCACAACGACAGGAACTGGATCTTCAATCCCTCTGCCTTTAGGAACAAAACACATGACAAATGTCCCTATATCAAGAGTGTCCAACTGTGTGGGCTTGAAGTCTCCGTTGGAGGTGGAGGCTGATGCATCTCAGGCTTGACATATCTCTCTTGCTTGTATCCCAATTGTGCCCCCTTTTTCTCATTGCAGGTTTTACCGTTCAAGCCTCTACTCCCACCCCTAGCAGTGAGTACTTGTAACTGTGATGATTGTGTATTCACCAAATCCCTTGTGAACAGCAGCTGATTCCCCACCCTGAGACCCTGGGGAGAAAAGAAAACAATGGACTGTCTTGTCCCACCCACCTCTGTTCACGCAATAGCCCATGGTGGGCAGGGGAGATTCTCGTGGTAGTGTTCAGTTCCATCCTCAATACCCTTTCCCACTGCATTCTGTTTCTCCTTAGCTGCTGTGACCACCACATTTTTACCATGGACCTCCGTGGCTCAAGATCACTTCACCAGCTCCACAGGTAGATGAATTCTTTCTCCTTCTAAGAAGCCAACCTACCCAGACTTAAAGCTCAGGATGGCATCAAGGAGCATGGAAATGCCACGAGCTCCTCTTGCCATGCTCTGAAATCTTGAGCATACAGGATGTTGTCTTCCTCATTTCTCCAGCTGTATTGACCATGAGCAGTTTATTTACCTCCCCTCTGTACCCCAGTTTCCTCACCTACCAAGTAGAGCTATTCATATTTCATAAATGTTTTGAACATTAAATGAAAAATAGTCATATGCTGTATAATAATATTTTTGTCATTATGATCACATATGTGATGGTGACCGCATAGGTTATGACTTAGTAATATTGTTTTAGTTTGTCTACGTAGAGGTATGTACTATATACTAGAGGTATATACCATATAGAGGTATATAGTATATACTATACCTATAGAGGTATAGTATTGCCACACTGATGAAACCTCCTAACATACCTTCCTTATAACATATTGTATCTTTAAATGATGCACAACTGTATATTGACGAATTTAGCACAGTAACTACCAGAGAATTTAGTTCAACAAATATTTATTGCTAATCCATTCAATACTAGGCATAGACAATTAGATATTCAGTAAATCAGATGTAGTCCTTCACTAAGTTTAGTATATGGATCAGCCTGAAATGGGACATAGAGTCACAACTGATAATAGTAACGCAATAAAAGATAACCAGGATATTCAACACTTCGTACATGGCATATCATGTACTATGTCCTTTTTGAATTTTTTATTTTGAATGAATAATTACAGATGCAAGAAATGCTGAAAAATAATAGGGTTTCCCTACATTCTATGCCCAATTTTCCCCCAGTAATTATATCTTGCATAAATTTAGTAAAATATCAAAATCAGGAAATTAATATTCTTTAAAACTAGGAGACCTTAGTCAAATTTTACATGCAGGTAGGTGGGGAGGTTGTTTGTGTGGGTGGGTGTTTGTAGTTCTATATCCTTTTATTACTTGGGCAGATTCCTCTAATCGCCACTACAAAAGGATACAAAGCTGTTCCAAACCCAGCACAAGTTCTGATAGCCATTAGTCTATCAGAATGTTGACTAATGTTTATTTTCAGAGTGTTGCATAAATAGAAACATACAACCCCTGTGACTTTTGGGATTGGCTTTTTCTTTATGCAGCACAATGCTTCCAAGACGTGCTAACACTTAACAAATAATCATGTAACCTTCGCAATTTCCCTGTAAAGTATGATGTTCCCCCTTTTACAGTGCAGGAGACTGAGGTACAGTCAGATAACACGTCCACGGTCACACAGTTGGGGAAAGGGGACAGAGAATTTGGAACCAGATCTGATTTATTAGTGTTGTCCTAACCATGGTAACCACAGCTTTAAATTGTGGTCCCCTTTTGTCCTCCCTGGCTGCAGGAGAGACCCCTTTTCTGGTCCTTTTCACCGTCAACTTTACCGTCACTAACCTGGAATTCAAGAAGAACATGGAGCAGCCGGGTTCCAGGAGGTTCAACAGCACTGAGAGAATCCTGCAGAAACTAGTGAGAGCCCCGCCCACTTCATCTTAGCCACGCCCGCCCCACGCAGGCCCCGCCCACATGTCCAGGTCTTGCCTACCACACTCAGGCTGGTGCCGTCACCACCCACCTCACCCCACCTCACACCCATTTCTCGCCAGGCCACACCCACCTCATCCAAGCCAGGCCCCAGACAGCTAAGCTCTGCCTGGTCCGTCAGAACAATGCCCTAGCTTCTCCTTGCTCCCCTTACTGATTCTTTCTCACTTCCTCTCTTTCCTCACAGCTCCAACCCTTGTTCGAGAACAGCAATCTTGGATCCCTTTATTCAGGCTGCAGACTAGCCTCACTCAGGTGAGATCCTGCTCATCAACAACACAGCCCAATGAGTGCATAAGACCAACACCATGGGCTTTCTAAGCTATGGGCTCCCTGCTGATCCATACTCAGAACCACTGCTGTCCACGAATGTTAACTATCAACACCAGTAGCTGTCATTAAGACCCAACACACTATATACCATGTGTGTTATAGTCATTGTTCAATCAGTCCAAGGAACAGCCCCACAAAGAAGAGCAGACTGAGGCTCAGAGGAAATAAGTGGTTTTGCAAGGTCACATACAGCAATGATGGCATCTTAGCTCCTAGATCCAAACCCCTAGTCCTTAGGCAGTGCTGCCTCCTCAGCCACTATCATGGCCTCTCAGGATATGGAAAGTGGCCACTGCTTAGGGAAGCTAAGAGGCGAGGAAAGGAAGGCACATAGTGTAACAGGGAGATGTTGTACTCCTGTGTGGATCAGGCTCAGCCTATGGAGAACTAACCTGTCCGGGGACAGTAGGCTATGGGAAGGGCATAGTTCAGAATCTCTGAGTCTGGCTCTTGAAACGTTTCTATTTTGTCACAGTCATTTACCTCCAGCTATCCTTCCTTCCAGGGAAGAGATGACAGGAGATTCGTAGCTAACAGCCTCAGTAGGTTTAGAGAGATCAGAGTTTCAGTCCTTGCTCTGCCACTTACTGAGCTCTGTGACTGACCCTGCACACCCACTTGAAGCTTTCTGTCCCGTTTCCCCGTCATCTGTTCAGCCCTCCACACTGGTGGGAGCAGATCTATGAATTCAACTAAGCAAAGATTGAAAATATTCATAAAAAGAAATTGCATCTGCCCTGAGCATCAGATTTTCCCTTACATTATTTCTTAAACGATACAATAAAACAGCTAAATGCATTGTATTAGGTAGTATAAGTGACCTAGAGGTGATTTAAACTGCAGGAGAATGTGTACAGATTCAGTGTAAATACTCCTTAATTTTATGTAAGGTTCTTGAGCACCTAAGGATTTTAGAATCCATAGGAGGCCCTAGACCCAATTCCTAACAGATAGGAAGATGAATGCGTATATGCATGGTACACAACCATGTTGTGCATACATATACACACATTGAATTTGTACATCTAGAGACAGATATAAGCACTCATGTTACTGCCACATATTTTTAATATATGACCACATGAACTGTATATAAATTTATAAATATATAACTACATATGGTTACTATACATATTACAAATATGCTGCAATATATATTGAGTTCATATCACATAGTAAATACTATATACTGTTATGAAAATATGCTAGGAGAACAAGAAATAATAAAATAGTTATACATAGCTAGTTTAATATAAATATTAAGTATAAGTATGATGTGAATAGGTATAATGCCATAATCTAGAATATAATTCTAATACAATAACATAAAATACAAAATATTTACAGATTAAATTTATATTTACAGTATATAGCTATATGTTTATCTTTTCAATGAATTGAACCATGTTATATGTAGTAGGGTAGGCATAATCATTGTGGAAATTGGAAAATGCCACCCCATAAATATGCTTTGAGGATGAGATGATGTAATTCTGTGTATAAACTGCTGGGTCTCATGTAAAGTAAGTATTGCATAACTGGTACCTGTTATTCTAGGAGGCGTCCTTCCATAGCCCTGGGCCAGAAGAGCCCCTTTCCATCTGAATTGTTCAATAGTATATGAGTGAGTGGCTGACTAAGTGGTCATGGTCATGTAGCCAGGGATGGGTTCTGGGTCACGAAGAATCCTGACTTGGGTTGGACCAGCTATGGAAACAGACTTATCAAACAGGCATCTCTCTTAGCCTGTTCAGCATCCTTGCATTTACTTAGTAATGCTCTAGCCCTGCTGGTCCATAGAATCTAAGATGGGAAAATTAGGCTTCTGATAATGCCACCTTTCTAAAGAATAATTTCACTTGCCATGTCATGATAAGCGTCGTGGGGGCACTGCCATCTATTACAACTCAACCCTAACGACCTCTCAGTGTCCACCAGCATCTGTGTCAAGAATTAGCTGGCATCATTTGATCTCTCCACCTACTGAGAGTGCTCACATTGTATCATCTTTGCATTGAGTATTTCAGAAGACTTCCTCCCATGTATATTGAGGGGTCTCTGACATGATGATTCTATCTTTGTTTATACTGAGCATTTCCCTGAAGACAGCAGTTTGCTTGTCCACTAGTATTTATCCAATTTCCAATTAGGATTGGAAAGAGAGAAAGAGAGACAGAGAGAGAGAGAAAGAGAGACACTGAGAGAGACAGAGACAGAGAAAGAGACAGAGAGAGATAGACAAACAGAGATAGACAGACAGACAGAGAGACCAACGCAGCTATAGTTGGACCAACAATATACGGTGCTTCCCAGGCCTGAGAAGGATGGAGCAGCCACCAGAGTAGATGCCATCTGCTCATACCGCCCTGGCCCTGAGGGCTTCAGACTGGATAGAGAGCAGCTTTACTGGGAGCTGAGCCAGATGACCAGCGGCATCACCCGCCTGGACCCCTACAGCCTGGACAGGGACAGTCTCTATGTCAATGGTGAGTGTGGTGGCTGGGATATAAGTGGGGTCTCTTCCCCCATGCAGGTTAGACTCTCCTCCCTGGATTGTGGTCTCCTTCCTTGCCTGGCCCTGGTGCTCTTGGCCATGTACTAAGTATGTGATGACTTCTGTCGACCTCCTGATGATTTCTTCTTCCTCTTGGACCAGTGTCATCCTCAGAACCTTTTCTCTGCAGTGAGAGTCCTCAGAGAGAATCTCCTATAGATGGAGCTACATGAATCTCCCACCCATTGCACCAGAGTGTCCCTCTGTTTGCTACTTTACTCACCTTTTACCTAACCCACACTCTCGCTGCTTCTTGCTGCAGGATACACCCATCAGACCGCTGCACTCATCACCAGCAGTGAGTATTCACCATGTCCATGACTCCCCTCTCTGCCCCACACCAGGCAGAGCAGGGGCTCACCCACCATTCTCCAGGATGTCCTCTCCAGGGGCAAAGGCTATAGCATGGGGGCAAAGTCATTCACCCTCCCTGCTTCACCAGCTTCCGCGAGAGTCCCAGCTCAGCCCCGTGTGCAGCAAGCCCCATAAGGAATCTCTCTTGCCGGCGTTTCTGAGGTGGGAATGCCCAGCCCCTTTCACTCATAAGAGCTTCTCCTCAGCTCCTGCGACCTCCACAGTGGATGTGGGAACCTCTGGGGCTCCATTCTCCATCTCCAGGCCCATGGGTAAGTACAAGTGCATGGCACTGCTGTGAGAGGGAGGCCCGAGCCCACAAACATCTCCCACATGGCACACTCAGACATGCAAGTTCATAGTAAAACTAGGGGGAATGAATCAAGCAACAGCATCCATTGAAGCCTGGTTCAGATTGTGCTAGGTCCTGGGGATCCATCAGGGAAAAGAGATCATCTCTGTCCTCAGAGAGTTTAAACTGTTGTGGACGTGATGCTGCTGATCCTCCTGCTGGTGACAATGACTGTGATGCTCCTGCTGCTGAGTGGTAATGGGGTTAATCCTCTCAGCGGTGACGGCAGTGGCGATGACAATGCTGCTGATGCTGTAACAATGTGGTGATGAAATGATGGTGGCAATGATGATGATGGTGATAAGAAGTAAAATCTAATGCCTGATGTTATCAGTCCCTGAATGTGTGCAAAAACTACATTGCAGTTAGTTAGCACTGTTTCATAGGATTTCATTAAAAGTTTCCTATCATTATAGGGAAGGCAGCATAGAAACATTTCTGTATCACTGACATTTAATTCCTTCTCCCTGTTTTTAAGAGTAAGTGACTCCCAAGTTCTATATTTTCTCTACTTGTAAGCATTGTATTTACTTCTCTGAATTCACTTTTGAGTAAGCTTTTGGATACCATGGCTGCATAGGACACTAAACATGGTTCCCAACTGCCCAGGAGCTGCAGTCAAGTGGGTTGGCACTCTCCAGTGGAGAATCGCAGTCTCTGTGTGAGGACTGGTGCAGAACAGAGAAGGGTGAAGCATCACTAAAGATTCTTTTCTGCCTTTCCTCCTGCAGCCCCGAGCCCTACTCTGGTACCCTTTACCATCAACCTGACCATCACGAACTTGCAGTTCATGCCAGATATGAGCCATCCAGGATCCTCCAGGTTCAACAAAACCGAGGCCATCTTGCAGCACCTGGTAAGACCACAGAGGTGTTTGCAGCCCTCTCTTGCCCTTCCACAGCCTCTCAGGCCTCCTTCTCACCACCGTCTCCATCCTCCCCAGCTTGGTCCTGTGATGAAGAATACCAGTATCGGCCCGCTCTTCTCTGGCTGCAGACTGAGCTCCCTCAGGTAAGATGTCCTAGACCTGACCCTATGCCCACCCACCCAATGGTGCAGCTCTGGCCACACTCGATGCTGCACCTGCTGAACTTTTTTCCCAGATTCTGCCCTCTCAGGCTTTGGTGCTACCTTTTTCGGATCCTCACCAAGGTGGATACTCCCCAGGAGTCAATGCTCCAATTTCCCAAATTTTTCTGTACTCTGCCAAATGATAAAAGCAAAAATTAAGTAGTTATGGCTTATGTATTTCTTAAACTACATTGACAATATTCAATATTGGTGCACATAAAATACTTGTGCGGTTCTTGTGCTGCCAAACAGGTTTGATATTTTCCTTTGCTGGGTCTAGCACGGTGTAATGCTGGTATAAGATGAACATCCCTAAATCCAGAAACCCAAAAGCCAAAACACTTCAAAACCTGAACCTTCTTGATATGTCATAATACTGTTAAAAATAATTTCAAATGTTAGAAGATTTCAGTTTTTCAGATTAAGAATGCTTAGGCAGCACAGGTTATGATATGCTCTAAGTGTGAAAACCCACAAATGTGAAACCCTTCTGGTCCCAAATAGGCCAAATAATATTTCAAATCTCTGTGTGACTAATGAATTGAGGCTCTGCCAACATGTGTCCCAATTCACCTTCTAACCTACGGGTCATTTGTATATTCTAACATTTCTTCATTCGTTGTTTTTTGTTTTGGTTTGGTTTGGCTCTTTTTTTTTGGCCTCCTAGGCAGTCTCATGTCATGCTTGTGATGTTGCCAGATTTACTCTTGTGAAAACCCTAGATATTCAGTCTTGCTCATGTTCCCATTCTCACGTAAACTTCCCTAGGCCTGAGAAGGACGGATCAGCCACCCGGGTGGACGTCATCTGCACCCATCGCTCCGAGCCCACAAGCACTGGGCTGGACAGAGAGCGGCTGTACTGGGAGCTGAGCCGTGAGACCCACAGTATCACCCGGCTGGGCCGCTACATCCTGGACAGGAACAGCCTCTATGTCAACGGTCAGTGGTCTGCATCTGCAGTGCGGCTTCCCCATGGGTTTCATCGTAGCTGTGTGCTCTGGGCTCATAACACACAGGAACAGGGGCATAGTCTCCTCTTCTGGAAGCACTAGGAGAGATGAGACCCTCAGAGAAGAGGGAAGGGTACAAAAATGCCAGAGGATAAACAGCATATAATCTGATACAGAAAGCGTTTCTGCTGTTCCACTCATAACTCTGCAGTTTGTGTACAGAGTCTTCACACGTTTTTACTACTGAGGAGGGAACCTAGGGCCTCATGCAGCTTAGGCCAGTGTTCTACCACTAAGTTCAGACCCCGGCCCCAGTGTCTGCACTTTTGAGACTTTGAGAAGACTCTGTGTATACTACTTAAAAGATTAGGAAACTCCAATAGGCATCTGGGCAGGGTGGTGCAGGACTAATATCCAAGCACTCTAGATGGCAGAAGCACATTAATGACAACTTCTAGCCCAACCTGGATTACTGAGCAACTTCACAGGAGCTTGTCACAAATTTTAAAATAAAAAAGAGGTAGGGATGTAAGTCAGTGTGAACTACAATCTATCTGCAGTATTTCTTTTTTAAAAAGAAAGCACAATAAACAAATCAACCTCAGAATGATGTCTGTCAGTCCATTCCCCATCCTTCCAGGCCTCACCCTTCCTTTCCCTCTCTTTCCCCAGGTTACACCCATCGCTTCCCAACTTCCATCCCCACCAGTGAGTAATCTGGGTCCCAGGATCACTGTACCTGGGACTCACCACCTTTCCCCCTCAATCTCCCTTATATCCCCTGAGAAGGAAGGAGCCAGGGAAGCCCTGGTCTTTCCCAAGCTCAGAAAATCTTGCCCAGCACAAGCTCGAGGACAAATGGGACAGATCCCATGCCACACCCTTTCTGACCTGTGTGCCCCATGCCTTGCCATCCCCTGTTTTTGCTCAGTTTCTGTGGCCTCCACCTTGACCCCATCAGCATCAGCGAGCCCTGCCTCAGTCTCCATCTCCACAGGTAGGAGCTTCCTCCCTGATTCCTCCCTGCAAAGCTCGAGTGCCTGGGGTCTGTGGGAGATGTTCCCTGGGGAGTCCTGAGGCTTCAGAAATACTCCTTCATGGGTGAATGAAGACATGCTCATTTGTTCAAAGACATTTGAGTAAATGCTTACTGTATGAAAGCCTCTGCTAATGCATCAGGAAGAGAAAAGGAAGGGCTAGAGGATTTGACTTCAGGAAAGACAGAGAAAGCCCTGACTGTGATACTCAGTACTGGGATACAAGCAGAGGTTCCTGGGTGAAATCAGTGTGGTCTGCATTCTTTGCATGCTGAATTTTCCAGCCCAAGAAATATGGGAACAGAGTGAGTTGCACACAGACCACGAAAACCACATGCATTTATCCACCACACTTGTGGGGAGCAGACAGAGCCTCTGGTGAGGCCAGCGCTAGCTTGCCATTCCCAACCTCCCAGTGGCCCAGGGCAGAGTCCTGCACAGCCCCTGGCCCTGGTGAGGTGCACCATGAGCTGCAGACTGCTCTGCTTAGCTCCAGTCTCTAGTTACACATCAGCAAGGGGTGCTCCAGGCTGCTCAGTGCACTGACGCTGAGGTGGAGCACACTCCTTCTGCAGCCTGGGCTCTCTGTGGTAAGGTGTGAAGGGCGAGAACACACACACAGCAGCACAGAGCCTGGCATCAAGACTGCTTCTGGCATGCAGACACTGTGTGACTCAGGCACACTCTTTATCTTCCCATGGGCTCAGTTTCACATCTGTAAAATGGGTATCAGGATGCTACCTCCCTCCAAAGCAATGACATCAAGGGAGTCATTCATCTTGCCAATGTTGATTTGCTTGTTTTAGAAAAGTAGGTAAGCCATTGACAATAGGGTCTGACATATGGACTGGAACCTGTTTCTGCCATTGTTTAAAATCAATAAAGACCTGGATTTCCAAACTACAATTGGGGTTAAACAGAAACTCAGGAAAGAAAATGAGGGAATCTTCACTACCTGGAGGGATATCTGATAACACGGGGCTTCGCAATGCGCTCACCTTTACAGAGGAGTGTCTCAGACTTCTCCAGGCAGCTGTCCAGTTATCGTGGGCGTGTGCAGTTCCTCCCTGAGGAGAAACTGTCCATCCTGAAGGAAGACCCTCCCGGTGGTTAAGGTTGCCCAAGGACGGGAGCCATACTCAGGGTCACACAGCGAGAACAGGCTCAGGCCCTGCCTGTCCCCTTCTCCCACTGCAGCCCAGGCCCCGGCCCTGCTACCCTTCACCACCAACTTCACCATCCTGAACCTGCGCTATGAGGACGACATGCGTCACCCCGGGTCCCTGAAGTTCAACTTCACTGAGAGAGTCCTGCAGAAGCTGGTGAGAGCCCCCACTGCCCTCAGCCCGGTGCCAGTGCACCCTCATCCCCCCACACCATGCCCACCGCTCCTCAAGCCACCTCAGCTCTTCCACCCCACACACCTCACCCTGCCCAGCCCATCTCCACAGAGCCTGAGAGCCTTCCAGTCCTTTAGCAATTCTGTCTCACTCCTGCGATTTCCTCACAGCTCCAAGCCCTGTTCCGGAACAGCAGTCTGGGCTCCCTCTATGCAGGCTGCAGACTGGCCTCGCTCAGGTGAGATCCTGCTCATGGAAAGCACAGCCCAAGTGGCTGACTCTTCCTGTGGATGATGCTCCACATTTCCAAACTGTCTTTCTCTCCTCCCACATGGCACTCACAGCATCTCTAGATCTATCCCAGAGTTTGGGAGGCTGAGGCAGGAGGCCCGCCATGAGCTCAAGGCCAACCTGAACCACAGTTAGACCCTGTCTCAAAAAGAAAAAGCAGTCTCCATGTCTGGCACTGGAAGTTTTCTGCTTTTTTATGGTCTTCCACCCCCAGCTTCATTTCCACTCGAGGGAAGACATAACAGTGGATGTAGGGGTGAGACCCTCACTGAGTGCAGAGACTCCTGAGTAGAGTCCTAGCTGTGGCATTTACTGAGGTCGGTGATTGCGACCCTTGGCTGGGTGATAATTCTCAGTAGGGTGCATGGAGGGCACTTCCCTGGAGAGACCAGCTCCCTCTTCACTAGCGTTGACCCGTTTCCAGCTGGGGTGTGGAGAGGGGTGGGCATACACTGATGAAGAGACACCTGCACCAACCATATATGGTGCTTCCCAGGCCTGAGAAGGACGGAGCAGCCACCAGAGTGGATGCCATCTGCTCACACCGCCCTGGCCCTGAAGGCTTCAGACCGGACAGAGAGCGGCTTTACTGGGAGCTCAGCCAGATGACCCATGGCGTCACCCGCCTAGACGCCTACACCCTGAACAGGGACAGTCTCTATGTCAATGGTGAGCATCGGGATGTGTCCTGAGTCTCCCGCTCTTAGCTGGTTAGACACCCCTTTGTGACCATGGCCCCATCCTCTGTCTCTTTCTTGAGGGCTGGGATGAGTTCAGTGTGTGCTGTCTCTGGCGTAGCTCTCACTGTTTGTTCCTCTTGCACTGGGCTCATCCTCACGGCCTCTTCTTTGCTCTGAGAGTCGTGATAGGGAATCCGCTGACCATCCTCGCTTCATGAATGCCCCTCGTGGTACACAGTAGCCCCCTCTTTGCTGCCCTATGTGTCCACTGAGCCTAACCCACACCCTCCCTGCTTCTCGCTGCAGGATTCACCCATCGGACCTCTGCACTCATCACCAGCAGTGAGTATTCACCATGTCCAGTGACTGCCCTCCCTGCCCCACACCAGGCAGAGCAGGGGCTCACCCTACCATGTCCGGTGATGTCCTCTCCAGGAGTAAAGCCTGTTGGGGGCAAAGTCATTCACCCTCCCTGATTCCCCAGCTTCTGTGAGAGTCCCAGCTCAGCCCCGGGTGCAGCAAGCCCCCTAAGGAATCTCTCTTGCTGGCATTTCTGAGGTGGGAATGCCCAGCCCCTTTCACTCATAAGAGCTTCTCCTCAGCTCCTGCGACCTCCACAGTGGACCTGAGAACCTCTCGGGCCCCATTCTCCATCTCCAGGCCCACAGGTAAGGACAGTGTGTGGCACTGCTCTGGGAGGGAGACCCGAGCCCGCAAACGTCTCCCACGTGGCACACTCAGACATGGAAGTTCATAGTAAAGCCAGTGATAACTGAGCACCTACTTTGGGGTAAATGCTATGATGCATTAGGGAACACGCAACAAAATATGTCTCCTCTTAGGCTGTTTATAATCTTGTGATGGTGGTGATATGATCATGATGATGTTTGTGATGATGGAGATAGTAATATGAAGATGATAACAAGATAAAGGTTATAATTGACATCAAAACCTGCTGTGCATATACCAAGAACTATTTTTGCAGCTAGGTAGAATTGTCTAACATGCTTTTAAATAAGCTTTCATCATTACAAACAAAGGCGCCATGGATACCTTTGCTTAGTCACTCTTTTTAACTTCTGCTGCCTATTTTCAAAAATGGGGGTATGTAAACTCCTGAACTGTGTATACTTTTAAACATTGTACTTATTTGTCTCACCTCTAATTTTGAGCAAGTCTTTTGGACATAGTGGTTGTATATAATTTAAAAGAGTGGTTCCAGTGAGCCCAGGATTAACAGCCAAGCTAGGTGGTACACTCTGGTGGAGAATCAAGTCCCTGGGTGAGGTCTTGAGCACCTGGAGGAAATGCTGGACAGATAACTGTACAGTTTCTCTTTTCCGCCTTTCCTGCTGCAGCCCCGAGCCCTGTTCTGATACCCTTTACCATCAACCTGACCATCACAAACTTGCAGTTCATGCCAGATATGAGCCACCCAGGATCCTCCAGGTTAAACAAAACCGAGGCCATCTTGCAGCACCTGGTAAGACCACCGAGGTGTCCACAGCTCCCCTCCTCCCTTTCCACAGCCTCTCAGGCCTCCTCCTCACCTCCATCTCCATCCTCCCCAGCTTGGTCCTGTGATGAAGAACACCAGTATCGGCCCACTCTTCTCTGGCTGCAGACTGAGCTCTCTCGGGTAAGATGTCCAGGAGAGATGCTCACACCTCCTTGCTCCCTGACAAAGCCTCTGAATCAATCTGTTCCCCACATGCCTGGTGAAACAGCTCTGGGCACCTGAGATGCTATGTGCTCTGAGCTTTCTCCCCAGATTTTGTCCTTTCAGCATTCTGTTCTATCTCCTTCCAGTCCTAAGCAGTGTAGACGTTCCCCACAATGAATGCCCAGAATTTCCCACACTATTTTCCACTTGGGAAATTTAGAAAGCAAAAATGAAGAGTCTTCATGGCCCGCGCACTTCTACACCTACACTGACAGTGCTCGGCCATGCTGTACCCAGTACATTTGCAGGGCTCTTGGGCTGCCCAGCTGGCATGTTTGTTATTTCCCTCGGCCTAGCCTAGAATGGCATGAGGCTGAAATAGGATAAATATTCCTAAATCCAAAAATACAAATTCAAAATGCTTCAAAATCTGAAACTTCTGATTTGTCTTAAGAGTGTTCAAACAGTTGCAACTTTTAGAGGATTTCAGATTTTTGCACCAGGGATGCTGAACTAGTGCAAGTTATGCATATACTCTGCATCTGAAAACCCAGAAATGTGAAACACTGCTGATCCCAAATATTGCAGATAACATATACTAAACCTCTGTCAGTACTGAATAAGCACAGTGCTAACACCTGTCTCGATTCACCTTCTACATCTACAGATATTTATAAATTCTCAACTATGTTTTTCCCTTCCTCCTAAGCAATCTAATTTAGTTTTGTGCCTTTTGTGGATATTTTGGCAAGACTTCCCCATGATCAGTCTTGCTTATGCCCCTGTCCACGTGTCCCACCTCCCTAGGCCTGAGAAGGACGGATCAGCCACCCGGGTGGACGTCATCTGCACCCATCGCTCCGAGCCCACAAGCACTGGGCTGCACAGAGAGCGGCTGTACTGGGAGCTGAGCCGTGAGACCCACAGTATCACCCGGCTGGGCCGCTACACCCTGGACAGGAACAGCCTCTATGTCAACGGTCAGTGGTCTGCATCTGCAGTGCGGCTTCCCCATGGGTTTCATCGTAGCTGTGTGCTCCGGGCTCATAACACACAGGAACAGGGGCGTGTTCACAGCCGTTCCCAACCTGGGTAACTTCATGCCTTAGCAAAACCTTGCCTCAAAAGAAAAAATAAAAAGTGCTGGAGTTGTCGTTCAGTGTGAAGGCCCTATGTTCAATCCCCATACTGAAATACAAAAACAGTACAAAAAGAAAAAAAATAATAAGCCCAACATTGTTGGCTTCTTCCCACCCGCATCCTTCCACTCTTCACTTTTTCTTTTCCTCTCTTTTCCCAGGTTACACCCATCAGTACCTGACCTCCACCCTCAGCGGTGAGTAATCTGGATGCCAGGATCCCTGTGCCTTGGCCCCATCTCTTCTCTCCCTTAACCCCTGCATACATCCTCCAATGAAGGAAGGAATAGGAAAGCCCTGGTCTTTCCCTACTCAGAAAAGACTTACCCCAATATAAGCTTGCGTTCAAATAGGAAAATGGTCTTCGGATCCCATGATGGGCCCTCCTTGGCTGAGAATCCCTATTTTCTCCATCTTTCCCGTATTGTTTTTTTCTTTAGTTTCTGTGGCCTCCACCGTGATCCCAACAACATCTTCAACCCTTGCACCAGTTCCCACAGGTAGGAGCTTTCGCTCACTACTTCCTTCTTACAAAACTCTACTGTCCTGGGCCTATGGTGTGCATCACCTGGGGAATATGAGGCCTCATTTATTCATTGGACAAATATTTATCTAGCACTTACTATATGAAAGGCTCTGGTGATGCATTTTAAATAGAAAAGAAATTGCCTTAGTCTTTGCTGGGAAGACAGAGACAGACCTGGTTATAAAGCTAAGTACTGAATGAATTAGATGCTCCTGGCTGAGATTTGCAGGTGTACGTAGGTGATTTCTCTCTTGTTTGAAACCGACTTCTCAATTCCAAGAATGAGGAAACCGCAGAAGTTACACATATACCAGCAAAATCATGTGTGCTTATGGGTCACACTTGCTCAGGAACTTAGGGAGTCTCCGGTGAGGCTGAGGCTCAGCTGTCCATCCCCAGCACCCAGCTGAGCCAGGATAGATTTCTGTACCACCTCCTAGCCCTGGTTAGATGCTAGATGAGCTGGCATCACCTCTGTCTTACTCCAGTCTCTAGTTGCATATCAGTGAGGGATTCTAGCAGGGTTCTGACCACCAGCTACTCCGGTGTAACATGCTGGTACTGTAGCGTTGATCTCTCTGTGGTCGTAGATGGAGGTGTTAGGAGCACAGACTCTGGGAGCACAAAGCCTATATTCAAATCTCATTCTGACCTTTAGAGACTGTGTGACTTTAACCAAGTATTTAAACCCCCTCTGGCCTGATTTTCCCATCTGTAAAGTAGACATCATAATGCCATTTCCCTCCAAAACAGTGAGTTCAAGGTAAGTCTTTTAATACATTAAAATGTGTTGACTTGTTTTTAAGAAAGATAAGTAAAGACTTTAGAATAGGGCCTAACATATACAAATGCCACATATGTGTTTCTTCCAAATACTTTTTTTTAAAAATTAGTAAACATGTGGATCTCAGAAAAATAATTTAGGTTAAAGGAAAACTCAAAAGAGGAGAATGTCTGTCAGAATCTTAGCCACCCCAAGGGTTAGATCTGTTTGCTTTCAGCTTGGCAATGCATTTAGCTCCACAGAGCAGAGGTAAATGTCCACAATGCCATTTAATTAGTGCTGACGTCTGAGGAGGACCCTCCCTCTGATTGAGGGTGAACATGCAGAATGGCCCCCTGTGTAGGTTCACACAGCAAGAACCGACTCCGTGCATGTCTCTCTCCCACTCCTGTTGCAGCAGCTGGCCCCATCCCGGAACCATTCACCCTTACCTTTACCATCACCAACCTGGAGTATGAGAAGAACATGCATGAGACCGGATCTCAGAAGTTCAACTTCACGGAGAGAGTCTTGCAGAAAGTGGTGAGAGTCCTGCCCCACCCACTGACATGGACCACGCCCACCTCATCCTCTCAGGATAGACGCCAGCCCTGCCTACTGATGCCAGCCCTGCCCACCTCAAGCTGCCCCACCCCATCCTTCTTCAGCTCTTCTGCTCACCTTCCTCCCCTTCCTCCACAGCTCACACCCTTGTTCAAGAAAACTAGTGTCGGCCCTCTGTTCGCTGGCTGCAGACTGACCTCACTCAGGTGAGTTCTTAATGGTAGCCCAGGGCTGCCCCAAGTCCTCCCAGGTCCAAAGAGGCACTGGGTAGATCCAGTACCAGGGTTTTCCCTAATGGTACCGTTTTCCCCATCAGCGCCCTCCAGATTCTACAACCTATCTCCAGGATTGGGCCCTCCCCACCTCATCTATTCTGAACTTCCTCCTTCTCTTCCTCCCTTTACGCTAAGAACATTTCTCTGGAGCTTTAAATTCTGTCCCCAGGATTTCTTTTAAGACAAGTGTGTCTTTTCCACTTGCTTTATTCCAGAAGTCCAGCTCTTCCCCTGGCTCCAGTATGATGGCTCCTATCCCCAATCCAGGAGCTTGTATGTTTGAGTCTTGCATTTAATAAAACTTCTTGAAGCCATAATTGCTCACCATCCTAGGCTGGCTGAGACTCCAGCAACTGCGCTCAGAGACTTTAAGTCTGGCATCTTACCTTTCTACCAGTCTATTTTCTGTCCCCTTCCTGTCTTATTCCAGGGATCTCATGATCCTTTTTTAGACATTTCATTTATTGTCATTCCCCACACTGACTCACAGGTCTGAGCGGCACGGAGCAGCCACAGGGGTGGATGCCACCTGCACCCACTACCCTGACATCACAGGCTCTGGGCTGGACAGAGAGCGGCTGTATTGGGAGCTGAGCTACCTGACCCATGGGGTCACCTGGCTGGGCAGCTACTCACTGGACCAGAACAGTCTCTATGTCAACGGTGAGCAGCAGCCACCCATGTCGTGTGTGCTGCGCTGTGCATCCACATTACCCCCACCCAGGATTCCCTTTCCTGCCACCCCGCCCCATCCTCACCCTTTCTTCCTTTATCTCTGCAGGTTACACCCATCAAATCCTGGCCACCACCGCCAGAAGTGAGTACTCTGAGGCTCCACCACCCCTGTACATCCCAGCTCTTTGGAGCGAAGTCAAAAGCCTATTCTTTCCATTTTCCATCCTTATCCTACCTCCTGGAATGAACAGAAAGTTTTACCCTAAAACTCCCTAGGCACAAGCTTTTCTTTCCCAGTATCTCCATGGTGATGGGGTCCCCACAACAAATACTTTTTTGTCCTCCCAGCTTCTATGACACCCACCGTTTCTGCATTGATTCCTACCGCCTCCTCCTCCAGTCCCACAGGTAGGAATTCTCCTCAGTAAAGATGCTCGCAGTGGTTCCTGCAAACATAGGAGGTAGAAGGAGGGGTGGAGCAGGTGGCGTGTGGCAGGACCCCAAGGCTGACAATTTTATGGTGCTGGAGATGGAGCCAGCGGCCTCACATGTGCCACCAAACACTCTACCACTGAGCCTCATCCCCAGAGCTCAAAGTTGATTCTTGATGGATTTGATAGTCTCCCCAGATCCCTAGAATTCCTCAGTACCAGTCCCTCTCCCAGAACCCAGCAACCTAAGCCATTCTCTAAAACCTATAGGTAGCCCCTGAACCCCCCACCACTTTGAAAGCATACAAAACACCAGATTTATTTTCTGAGATTAGATTTGTCCTGTGGCCAGTATACCAGAAACCAGCTCAGCAAAAGATCAGTTCCCTAGTTGACTCAATCAACCAACTGATCAACAACTTGAATTAAGAATTCAATCCTGAAGAGATTGAATAGATAAGACTTTATCTTTCTTGCTAATTCTTTATGAATTATGTTCCTTACAATAATATGTATATCAGCTCCTTGGCTGGAGGCAAAAAATATGGCTTGTGTGTGTAACACCTACACTCTGCATTTCTGGTTTCTGTGTGTGGCTAAAACTAGGGTCCATCTAAAACAAGACACATCGCTGCTTTCACTCCCCACCCCTCTTCTAACTCCCACGTGTCTCCAGATGTGGGCACGCTCCCTGTTATCTCAAGAGGGTAAGGTCTCCTGAGTAGGCAGGGTTTGTGTCCCTTTGTCCCCCATCCAGACCAGGCCTGATGAAGGATGTGAACTTCTCCTCCACTTTCCCACACCTAAGTCATTTAAATTCTAGAGCTTGAGCTTCTGTCCTAAAATAGCTGTGTAGCCTTGGGGTAGTGACTTATCCTCTCTGAAACTCATTCTCATCCTTAGTGAGTTGGGATAAATAATAGGATCATATCCAGGGGTTATGTGAGGATTACATGAGATGCTGCAGAGAGAGTACTTAGCACCAAGGTAGCATATAGTAAGCTTCTGCCCAATGCTACCGTCGCTATTGTTGCTATTTTATTGTCATTTTTATCACTGTTGCCATTATTAGTGTCTTTCAAAATAAAGTTTCCTTTTCTAGGAGAAACATGTGGATCTCTTGCCCTAGGTGTGAGCACACTGGGTACCAGGGATCTATCTGGTAGATCCATCTGGATTTGGAGTCTCCCTCAACCCTTGAAACTACTTCAAATAGTACTCGGGGTTTGACTTCTCCCTTAACCTTCCTGCAGCCTCTAGCCCCACTCTGGTGCCGTTCACCCTTAACTTCACCATCACTGACATGCCTTACACGGAGAACATGCAGCCTTTGGGCTCCTCGGAATTCAACAAAACAGAGAAAGTTCTGCAAGGACTGGTGAGAGCCGCATCCTCTCCCTCTAGCCCTGCCCACTGACGCCTTCCTACCCATTCCAGCTCCGCCCCCTCCCTGTTTCCTTCCCATAGATGCCCCACCTATCCCCGCTTTCCTTCCACAGGTGCCCCGCCCACCAATGCTAGCTCCACCCACCTTTCTTGCTCCACCTACCTCAGCTCATTGATTCTCCCGTCCCCATTTAGATCTTCTACTCTTCTCTTTCTTTCCTCTCCACAGCTTGACCCCTTGCTCAAGAACACCAGTGTCGGCCTCCTGTATTCTGGCTGCAGACTGACCTTGCTCAGGTGAAACTTGCAAAGAAGCCGGCCCAGGGTGGTATGGTTGAGACTCTTATGCGTAGTTATCTAGGGCTAGGTCCTCCCTTTGGTCTCAGCCACTTCCAGCCCCTAACCTGCGAAAGCCACTTCTGCTTGGACCCCTGACAACCAAGCCGTCTTCTGGATTTTCCCACGCTCCTAAGCCTCACATCTCCCATGCAGTGTGTGTTGGTCGGCTTTTTGTCGCAATGACAAAATACCTGAGATAATTAATTTATACAGAGAAGAGCCTTATTTTGGTGCTAGTCCATGGTCAGGTAGACCTTTGTTCTCAGGCCTGTGGTGAGGCAGCTTATCACGGTGGGAGAGCATGGTGGAATAAAACTGCCCACCCCGCCACCAGGAAGACAAAAGACAGGAAGATGAGGGAGCTGGGCTTCCATAGTATGCTCTGAGGTCATGACCCCAATGACCAAAGACCTCCCCTGGACCCCTCCTCTCCCAGGTTCTACCACCTCCCAGTAGTGCCACTTGGGAACCAAGCCATTAACGAACTGGGGGGATGTTTAAGGTCCAAATTACAGCATAGGGTTTCCTAAGAACAAAACAACAAAATATAGCAACCGGAAAGTATGCATCCAACTAACCTGCAAAAGGACACAGCCCTGACCCTTTACAAAGGATGCACATATGTCCCAGAAAGATAGTCCACAAAACATACAAATATCCCTGAAGGTGAAGGCACAGAAGCAGTGTGTGCCAGGCAGTAGGAGAAGGTCAGGGCTTCTGTCCACATTCTTTACCACATCTTTCTTATGGGTGGCTGTGTCCTGCACTGTAGGCTACTTAACAGCATCTTGACCTCTAAACATCCACCTACACGCCTGTAGCAACCCTCTTCTCCTCACCTCCGAAGCTGTGACCACCAAAAATGTCTCGATGCTGTCAAAGGTCTCATGAAGTACAAATTGCCTCTGGCTTAGAATCACCAAACTAAAAGCATCCCTGAATTGTTACCCTAAAGTCTTTTGGCAAAACCGTTACTATCCCCAGTGTTACACATGAAAAACTGAGACACAGAGCGGTTATGGAGCCAACCACTGCCACATAGTGAGGCCAGGATTCAAGCTCAGTCTCCTCAAAGCGCATGCTGTGTCCAACCCTGCTCGCCATCCCACTTTTCTTTGGGAATAACACAGCCTTTGCCTCCCTTCCCCTCTGAACCCAGCTCTGCTAGTTCTCTGAGCAAGCACAGCCAGTTCCACCCCAGGGCCCCCAGGAGGATGAGCCTCAGTGGGCATCTCTCCACGATAGCCTCAGTTCCCTGAAAATTTCCTTTTTCAAGAGAGGTAAGCCTCCCTATGGTGCTGAGATAGATAAGAATGATGTGAGTTTTCTTAGGACACAGTTCCAAGGCATTGATGTATCCCCTCTGCTCCCGTGTCCTGGAGTTCCATGAATTTTCTTTCCATCCATTAACACTACTTGAACTCCTACCCTGCATGAAGCTTACTCTTCCCAGCTCTGAAAAGTCAATAGTCTTCATCCCTCACAAAGGGTCATTAACAGCTCATTAATAGTACCAGTCATCATAAATAATTACTATATTTATAACTATTATAATAAGTGTGGCCACAGATACTCGTTCGTTATTTAGAGTACACTGGGGGCCACTTGAAATACATCACTTATATTGCCTGATTTCATCCTCACGACACACACCAGTGCCCCAGGTACCATCATTATGCCATTTTATAGCTGAGAAACTGAGACCCAGACAGAACATTGAAATGTTGAGAGATGAGAAAAATGCGGTGAGTCGAGGCAGAAGTGAGACTGAAGTTCATACCCAGAGAAGAGTAGGTGATGGCCAGAAGGACTGTCTCAGAGAAAGAGAAAAAGCAGGTAAAGAAAGAAGAGCCCGAGGCCAGGAACACACAGAGCTGAAATACACAACTGCTAGGGGAACGGGTGCAGAGGTGAGCGATGCAGGCTTCGGATGGGCTAGAACTGATCGCTACCGGACAGTGGGGAAAATGGAAGAGTTCGGCAGGTGTTTCACAAGGAAAGATTTTTGTTTAGAGTGAGAATTGGCTGCCATAGCGAAAATGGATCACAGGTGTAGGGCAAGAATGATGGGAAGCCTGGTTTTAGAAGGCAAAAGTGAGGCCAGCTCCCCCAGTAGGAAGACAATAGCATCCTGGGTCCTCTTTACAAGAGTTGCTCCATGTTCTAACAGTCCTTATAGGATTCTCAAGATACTGTCACGGACCTCAGTGGGTGGATCCTCATTATGTCCATTCCTGGATCCTTCCTTAACAAGCTGAGAGAGGAGCCAACAGACTGTCCACGTCTGGCTTCTTATCTCTCTACCAGGCTCATTTCCTCCAGCCTCTTCTTGTCATAGCGCCAGGATCTTGACATCCCTCTCCACCAATTCATTCATGGTCATCTTTTTCACCTGCCCTACCAGGCCAAAGAAGCATGGGGCAGCCACCGGAGTTGATGCAGTCTGCACCTACCACCCAAAGTTAACAGGTCCTGGGCTGGACAGAGAGAAGCTGTACTGGGACCTGAGCCAGCTGACCCAAGGTGTCACCCGATTGGGACCCTACACCCTGCAACAGGACAGTCTCCATGTTGACGGTCAGCAGCTGCCCTCTCTACTTTTCTGTATTATAGATGCCCACAGCTTCCACTTCCAAAGTTTGTTCCTTCTTCACCTCTGAGTACCTCCTCACTCACATTTCTGTGTTGTTTCTGCAGGTTACACTCACCAGACTGAAATAGTAGTCCCCAGCGGTGAGTAGTCCATGGCCCTCAGGGCCATCCTGCTTCATTCAAGAACAGAAGCTCCAAGTCTTGCTTATATCACTAGCTGTCATGCAGGGAAGGCTTGGGAAGACTTTAAAATCACAATTACTCCTGTTCATCATCTCTGTGTTCTCACTTCCATATACCTTTCTCTGGCAACAGAAAAATGCCACTAAATGAGGGATGGATGGAGTAAAGTCATATTCAGGAAAAACATGGGAATGAGAACGTTAGGTGGCAAACTATCCCCTTCAAAGGTCTCTAGCTTTCAGATCACTCCCTGCCCACCAGGATCATGCGATGGTCCCATGTTATCCACAGCTAATGCTTGAGTCGTTAGATGCCAGAACCCCTCAACCACTGCTGTGGTCTCCAGTGAGATGCTCCCTGGTCTCAGCTCTGTGATCCCAACTGTGGCCTGATTCAACTCGGCATCCCCTTTCCATCCCTGCTGCAGCCATAGGATCTCCCTTGGTGCCATTTACTCTAAACTTCACCATCACCAACGTGGCCTATGAGAAGGACATGTGGCCTCTAGGGTCCTGGAAGTTTACCAACACCGAGAAGGTCCTGCAGCACCTGGTGAGAGCCCTGCTCGCCTTGCACCAGTCACACCCACCTGCCTCTGACCACGCCCACTTCAGCCCTGTCCTGCCCTTTCATGTCAGCCCCATCTGTCTGTCATCTGTGCCTCACCTGCTGATAAAGGCACAACCCAACTATGATGACCTTGGCCCTGCTCTCAGAGCTCATTCTCTCTCCACAGCTCAGGTCCCTGTTCAAGAACACAACTATCGGCCCCTTCTACTATGGCTGCAGACTGACTTTGCTCAGGTAGGTCCTAAGGATAACTGGCCATGGTTGATCTAAGTGGTCCCAGGCCCAAAGATTTTGTTCAGCTTCCCTCCTGTACCCTTTATGAATGTCTCAGCATAGGTAGAATTCAGGAGGCACTGACTTCAGCACCAAGATGTCTCCTGGTCCCTAAGGAGCTGTCCTCTGATCCTGCAGAGTCTGTCAGCAGGACTGGGCCTCAGCCCTCCTCAGCCATTCTGAAATCTTTCCTTCCTTTACCCTGTAAAGTACAAGTGAATTTCCTTCAGGTTTCAAACACTGGCTTTTCTTGGATCGCAAGCATGCCTTCTCCATTTGCTTCGGCTCCCAACTCCAACTCCAACATCTCAAGCACAACCTTTTCTGTCTCCATGCACACGGGATGCAGCCTTCAGACACCATTTGATCATGTCTCCTACTATCAACTCTGCTTACAAGCCTAGAATGGTCAGAAGTCAGGACACTAAGAAATCAAAGTTTAACCACCTCTCTATGAGCTTCTCATTTCATTCTGGCCCCTTCCTGCCATTTCTCCAAGAATCTCAACACCCTTCTGACCAGTTCCCTTACCGTCATTCCCCTTACCTGCCTTCCCCAGGCCTGAGAAGGGTGGGTCAGCCACAGGAGTGGACACAGTCTGCACATATCATCCTGAATCCATGGGCCCCAAGCTGGACAGGGAGCAGCTGTACGGGGAGCTGAGTCAGCTGACCCAAGGCATCACCCAGCTGGGCCACTACACTCTGGAAAAGAACAGTCTGTATGTTAATGGTATGTGGTGGCTCTATATTTCCTATATTTTACAACCCACTGCATCACCTTCCAGGCCTTCTTTATTCCCTGCCCACCTTCCAACACTTCCTTGCTTTCTTTTCCTGTCTCCTCTGCAGGATACACCAACAGGACTGCAGTAGCCACCCCCAGTGGTGAGTACTCAGTGACCATCAAAAATCTCCACCACAGCCAGGAAAGGAAGCACCAACCCCCTGCCCACATCTCCAATTTTCAGGAAAAGGAGTGGGGATCCAGGCTGAGAAGTCTCTGCAGTAACCATTAGTCGTTCATCCTCCCCACTTCTGATCACAAAGAAATGCCATTAAATCATAGTGAGGTGTATGAATGGAGGAAACAAGTCAATAATTCAACAGAAATACTGGAAGTGAGGATGTGTGATTGAGACCTCCAGCCTTTGAAGATTGGTAGCTTCCAAATCATTCCCTGTACTCCTGCAGTCTGTGATGTTCTAGTGAGTACTTAGTGGCCCTCAGATGTCCTCAAGTCACATATTGGGAAAGAAGCACCGGTTCCCTGCCAACTTCTCCGGTGGTCCAGGGAAAATGAGTTCGGGTCACAGGCCAAGAAGTCTTTGCAGTTGCAATTAGTTGCCCATCATGTCCAAGTTTTGGGTGCTTCTGGCCACATTTCTGAGGCAACTGAGAAGTCCCACCATATCACAGTTGGGTAGATGAAAGGAGAATACGTGAGCAATTTCACAGAAACATTGGGAATGAAAATGTTATGTACAAAACTGTCTTCTTTGAAGCTTTGTATCTTCTATATGTTTTCCTTCTAACCTGCAGCATGTGATAGTGTAGTGTTATATACAACTTGTGATTCAGACATGAGACCTCAAGGCTCTGTAGCCGTTGTTATGGCCTCCGGTGGGACAGTCCCTGGTCTCAGGCCTGTGGTCCCAGACTCTGCTATCCATGTACAGCACAGGTCTGACTGACCATGGCCTCTCCTCTCCTACCCTGCTGCAGCCACAGGACCTCCGCTGGTGCCATTCACCTTCAACTTCACCATCACCAACCTGGCCTATGAGAAGGACATGCAGCCTCCAGGATCCTGGAAGTTCAACAACACAGAAATCATCCTGAAGCAGCTGGTGAGAGCTCTGCCCACCTTCCTCCGACCCAGCCCACCTCACTCCAGCCTGGCCCTGTTTTTTATTAGTGTCCATTTATAATGTGTAGCAGTTACATTTATATTGGAAAATCGGCACAAGTGTGTAATATATCTTTATCATTTTCCATCACTGTACTCCCTAATTCCCCCCTTTCCTCTTCTAATCTCCTTCCCTATCACCAAAAAGTCTGCCCCCTTGTTTCCTACCATCTGTCCTTTATGTTACTTTTATTTATTTGTGTCTTATGCCTCTCATAGAAAACATGCTTTATGTAGCTTTCTGAGTCTGATTTATCTCACTTAACATTATGATCTCAAGTTCCACCCATTTTCTTGCAAGTGACCTGATTTTATTCATCTTGGCTGAATAACATTCCACTGTGTATAAATTACACATTGTCATTATCCATCCATCTACTGATGTGCATCTAGGCTGCTTCCAGAGCTTAGCTATTGTGAGTCGTGTTGCTACAAACATGGGTATGCACATAACACTATGCCATGATTTTTTTAACTTCTCCAGGAGTATACCCAGGAGAGGTACAGCTGTGTCAAATGGAATTTCCATTTTTAGTTCTTTGAGGACTCTCCATGCAGATTTCCACAGCAGTTGTACTAGTTTACCTTCCCACCAACAAGGTAGAAGCATTCTCTCTTAGTCACTGTCCTCATCACTGAGACACAATACCTCAAACCCACAACTTAAAGGATGAGAGGTTTATTTTTAGCTCACAGTTTCAAAGTTTGGCTCAAAAACAGAAAAGAGTACGGTGGAAGAACCTTCCACAGAGGAAAGCCACGACCATCATGGCCAACGGAAAGCAGCGACAGAAGGGAGGAGATAGGGAGGGACAGCCACCCTTCTAGGCCATGCCCCCAGTGACCCACCTCTTCCAAGTAGGCCCACCCCCTAATGGCGCATCAGCTATGGATTCATAGCTGCATGAATCCACTAAGCCACTGCTGAGTATAGCAGCTCCATGATCCCAGCACCTGCCAAAAGCCCTGCCTCTGAGTGTGTGAATGATTTGGAAGTCATTCTCGACCTAAACCATGACAGATTCCTTTCTCCTTACAGCCTAGCCTGAATTCATAATTTTTTGTGTTTTCAGCAATAGCCATTCTGACCAGGATAACCTGGAGCCTCAGAGTTGTTTTGATTGGCACTTCTCTAATACTAAAGAAGAGGGACATTTGTACACGTACTTATGGCCTTTCCTTTAAGAAGTGTGCATTCAGTTTATTTGCTCATTTTTTGATGCCAACCATGTCCATCCACCATCTCTGCCTCTCCTACCAATGAAAAGACCAGCAACCATGATGACCTTGCCCCTGCCTCTCTGATAAGCCCTCTCTTCTCCACAGCTCAGCCCTTTGTTCAAGAACACTGCCATTGGCCTCCTATACACAGGCTGCAGACTGACTTTGCTCAGGTAAGTCCTGAGAATAATGCCTGGCCACAGCTGCCCTAAGTAGTCCTAGGCCTGCAAGCTTGTTCGGCTTCTCTCCTGTATTCACTGTGAGTGTCTCAGCACAGGTGGAATTCAGGAGGCACTGGATCCAGCATCAAGGTCTCCTGGACCTACCACCTTCCCACCAGTACTATTCTGAAATTCTGCAGTCTTTCAGCAAGATAAGACCACTAACCTGATCATCCTGTTTGAGTTTTCTTTCTTCGCCATCCTTTCACAAGAGGCATTCTTTAGATTTTCTCTTCTGTCACTAGTATCCCTCTCAAAACAGCCATCCTTCTTCTCCATTTGCATTAATGCCCAACTCCAATCCTGAACCTCTCAGGTATGATCCCATCGGTCCCCATGCCATGAGATCACACATTTCAGCCCACTAATTAGTAACAGTTTTCCCACCCGCCAGTCTCTTCTCCCAGTGGTACATTTGCCAAAAGTCAACACGGTCAGAGAATCTATGGTTGTCAACTTCCCTACCAGGCTTCTCACTTCTCTGGCCTCTTCCTGTTCCGCCCCAGAAATCTCAAATTTCCTCCCATAGGCAAGACATTTATTATTATTCCTCTACTTCACCCTCCTCAGCCCCAAGAAAAATGGGTCAGCCACAGGTGTGGACATGCTGTGCAGCTACCATCTGGACCCTAGCGATCCCAAGCTGGACAGAGAGCATCTGTACCAGGAGCTGAGCCAGCTGACCCACGGCATCACCCAGCTGGGCAGCTACACCCTGGAGCCGAACAGTCTCTATGTCAATGGTGAGCAGCAGCCTGCTGTGCTGTGCTTCCCTTTCCAGGCCTTCTTTACTTCTTTTCCACCTCCCAGCTCCTCCTCACTCTTTTCCTCTTGCTTTCTGCAGGTTACACCCACCAGACTGCAGTCACCACACCCAGCAGTGAGTACTCAGTGACTCTGCGAACATTCTCTGCTCCAGCCCCTTCCAGGGAGGGAAGCCTCAGGCCCCGGCCAGGCGTCCAGCTCTGATGCTGAAGTCATCGCCATCCCCCAGCCTCCTTCCCTTCATCCCCAAAGACAAGAGTGCCAACCTTGACACCTCCTGTCGCTCACCTTCCCGAGCCATCCATCACCAAGTACCACCTCCTTTCCCTCTGGGGTATCTCTCAACTCCTTCCTCTTTTGGCCACATTTTCACACAAAGTTATTTAGGCCACCAGCATATATTTTTGCTAGGATAACAGCAGCGTACGCTATTCTGGGTTCCTACTGTCCTCTACACAGCAGCTACAAACTTATTTTTGGTGTGCATTTTCCCATGTAATACCCACCTTGTTGACGATCCTTTTAGATGGCTCCATTTGGTCTACAAGCTGCACTCAAAGCCTGTGCTATAGGTCACTTGGTCCCTTTCAGGACTCAGAGGATCCTTCCCTTCTCATATCTGCACCTTCCTATAGTCTTAATGAAGGAACTTCAGAGTCCTTGAGTGGATCATGCTTGTCTCCTTCCCTGACCTTTGACCACGCTATTCGTTTGGCCAGGAGAGCTCTCCCTACTTGCTCAGTTTCCATTAACTTAACTTTTTACCATGCTCTTGGTGACTCCTGAAATGATTCTCACTCCAGGGAGTTTTCCTCATCTACTGGTTGGGTTCCTTTCCTGAATTTTTATAGCCCTCTTCCTTGCCAACTCCTGTTGAAGCATAGTCATCTATTCACTTCCATGCCCACGACATTGGTCAACTATGGCCTATTAATGTTTGGACACACCAGAGCCCATCACAGAATCCTGAGCACATTAGGCACCCAAATAAGTGTTCACTGAGTGAGTGAATAAACATTTCTGGTCACTTAGACATTTTAGAATGTGTCCTCTTTTGGCTCCTGATGTCTGGAGCTAATGTCCCACAGTATGGGCTGGAAGCACTCTTAAGCATGACTATGACCCAAACTGGACACTTCTGTTTTCCTCCAACACTGCAGCCAGCGCTCCTACCATCGTACTAGTCACGCTCAACTTCACCGTCACCAACATGCATTACACAGAGGAAATGGGGAACCCAGGTTCCTTGAAGTTTAACTCCACTGAGAAGATCCTTCAGCGCCAGGTAAGAGCTTTTTCATGGCCACTACCCCACCATCTCACACCTGCCATTCTAGCCTCCTCAGCCATCCTCACTAATCGTCTTCTCCGTTCCCTACAGCTCAGGTTCTTGCTCAGTAAGACCAGTGTTGGGCCGCTGTACGCTGGCTGCCAACTGGCTGCGCTCAGGTGAGACTCCAAGATGAAGCGACTCGTCAGACTGAGTAGACCTTCCGGTACCACATGGCAGGGCACAGGCATTGCTAAAACCAGCACCCACCATGATGCCTTCAGGCCTTCTTAGTGCACAGATTGAGGGTTCCCTGGCTTAGAGATGAGGAACTGTGTTTAGTGTACAAACCCAGGTGTTATTCTGCTTTAAATGAGGATTGTCCTGGTGAAAGAAATAGGACCACCAAACTTTCAGTCTGCAATGCTTTTCCATGTTTTGTGTCTCCAGTATGACTAGACTATCCCACACAAATCACACTTAGCATACTTCACAGCTAGGCACCTCAGCATCTCCCCCTTTCTATGCTTTTGCTCAATGCTCAAAAGCCCTTTCTGTGTCCCCATGTCCTCCCTCCACCAGGCGTGAGAAGGGTGGGGCAGCCACAGGAGTAGATGTCATCTGTACCTTCCACTCTAACTCTACAAGCTCTGGGCCGGACAGAGAGAAGCTGTACAGAGAGCTGAGTCATGAAACCCGTGGCGTCACCCAGCTGGGCCACTACACCCTGGACCACAACAGTCTCTATGTCAATGGTGAGGGACTGCATTACAGCACAATCTTTCTCAGTTGGAATCTTGGATTTTCCCAAAGCCTTGAACAAAGCCCCCATCTCTCTAGCATACTTTTGACCAGTCTTGCTTTTCTTCTGTGCCAATGGGGACAGTGACCATGTTCAGCTATCTTCAATCTTGTTTCCTGCTCAACTCTTTCCTAAACATCCCTCACTGCCACTTCCCCTTTGTTTTTACCAAAAAAATCTATATGTCCTCCTTTATTTTTAGTCCTTTATATCTACTCAGTCTTCTCAACTTTATTTTTTTGTGCAGGTTACACCTTTGGAGGCACAGCCGCAATGCCTACCAGTGAGTACTCCTGGCCTTGATTTCCTAGGTCCCGCCCTCACCTGCAGTTTGGGCAACAGCCGTGCTTCATTCACCTCCTCTCCTCAGTGAGGGACACAAGGGAAAGAGAAATGTCTTCAACTTTTCCCTTCTCTTCCCCTGGGTCTTAGTAGAGCGCTCCATGCAGGGGTGCAGAGGGCTGACACTCAGATCTATTCTCCCACTAGAATGATTTTCATTTTAATTATCTCACAATTCTATCTTGTTACTGCTAAGCGGCAAACCAAGGCACAGTAAAATTTAAAGAGTTTATTTGAGCAAGTAGTGATTCATGAAGCAGGAACCATTAAGCAGAAGATGGCTTTGGGTGCCCCCAAAGAAGGAAAGAAAAAAGCCTTTATTGGATAAACCAGAGGCAAAGCCAAGAAAACACTTGATTAGTTACCGCACTGAGGTTCTTATTTGATCTATCCCAAATCCCTAGTTCTGTATGGAAGTTGACAACTTCTGGCTGGTGAAGCTTCAGTTTCACTTTTTCTTTGCCGCAAATATTTGTCAAAAACTACCCAACTTTCACTCGGTTTTGTTTTTTCTTTCACTCATTTTTACAAATCAAGCAATGTCAGGTTTGCTGTCTTGGCCTAACTGGCTTTTGTGTCTTCAGGGAGCTCTCAATTCTAGGGTCCATTTTATTTTATTTTAACGGTACCATTTTCTTATCTTTTAGTTTCTTCTCTTTTTGTTGTTGTTGTTGTTTTTCCAGGACACTCTTAATATCAGTGTTACACTTGTTAGGTTTTCAACAACTGTTTATTGATCTCTTCCAGGCACTGTGCTAAATCATGTCCCATTAGTCCTCTAGGGCTGCTATAACAAAATAACACAGCCTGGGTGGCTCAAATAACAGGTATTTATTTTGTCTTAGTTCTGGAGGCTGAAGTCCAACATCAAGCTTTTGGCTGGTTTGGTTTCTTCTGAGGCCTCTCCGGGAAATGGAGACAGCTGTGTTCTCCTTGGCCTTTCCTCTGTGGGTGTCTCATCCAGATCTCTTCTTAAAAGGACCTTCATCATATTGGATTAGAGCCCAACCTAATGACCCTGTTTGAATTTAAGTACCTCTTTAATTTAAGCACCTCTCCCCAAGTGGAGTCATCTTCTGTTATTCTGAGGTGCTGGAGTAAGGACTTCAACCTATAACTGGAGGATGGCACTTGCAACTTATCCCACAATTCATCCCTCTCTCTGCAGCCTTTACCTCTCACTGCAACTATGTGACTTAGCTTCATCGTGCAGATGAGGAAGCTCAGCCTCAGCCTGCCAAAACCTCACAGCAAATGCATAATAGAGTCAGTTCTCCTCACTCCAAATCTGGTCCAGCTCTCTGTGCTATTTCTCACCTGGCGAATTAGTCTAAAGGACGTGCTGGTTGTGTGTGTGCACATATTATGTTCAAGTTCATGGGTAAATGTTCTTCACATCCCCAGCAAGTTCCTTGTGATGAGAACTTTGTAGGCTTTCCAGCACGAATGATTTTTGCATGAAGGATGTGTCTTCTCCGCTCTCCCAAACTCTTCTTGGGTCCATGGCTAGTTATCCTTCCTTGTTCCTAGCAAAAATAAGGTGATTCTAAATTGTTAAGATCTAATAACGGCCGTCTTTTCCAAAATAAGAAGAGGAAAATAAGTTAATATCTGCTCCACTGACTGTTGTTTAATCCTACAAATAGTTTCTGGAGCACTATAGAACCAGTTTGCAATATATGAAAGGACAGCAAGATGGGTGGATGGAATGAGGGAGAGAGGATGTATGAATGCTTGGGAGAAGAAATGATGGGTGAAAAGAAAAAAAAAGGAACAGAGGAGAGATGGGTGAATAGAAGAAAGGAAAAAAAGACAGACACAGGAAACAGATGAATGAATGTGTGGGTGGATGGAAGTCAATATGAGGAAAAAGAAGACAAGATGGATGGAGAGATGAAAGAAAAGAAAAGATGAAGGGGAAAGCAAGGAAAGCTTAAGGAAGGAGGAAAGGAAGGGTGGAGGGAAGTCTGAACATAAACTCAGGTGGAAATCTACAGAGGGGAGGAAGGAAAGATGCATGCATTCATGGGTTAATGGATGAAAGAAAGAGGGGGAGGGAGAATAAATGTATAGGTAGAAATGAGGACGAAAGGAAGGAGGAGGAAAAGGAACTGAGGGAAGGGAGGGAGGGAGAAGGAAGGAAAGAATTAAGAAAGAAAGGGAAAATAAAGAGAAACAACCATGGATAAAGGGATGGAAGAAAAATTGTATAGTGGAAACAAAGAAAGATTAATGCATGGAAGAAAGGAAAGGATGGATGGATGGATGGATGGATGGATGGATGGACAGGATGGAAGAAAAAAGAAAGATAGATGGATGAATTAATGAAAAGAATGGTGGAAGAAAGGGAGGGAGGAAAGGAGAATACATGCATGAAAAGAAAGATGGAGGTAAAAGGAGAGAAGGAAGAATTATCCAAAGGAAAGGAGGGAGAGAAGGAGAAATAAACTTTTCTTTCAGAGATGAGACATTAATTCATATTTATATTAAAACTATATACATAGCAAGTCATCAGAGAACATTTATTACTTATTTTATGTAATAAAACCTAACATAATGCCTACTCTGTGCCCGGCCTTTCTTAAATATTGTACAAAGATTAATTGACTCAAGCCTTGAGGTAGGAATCAGTATCAGGAACCAGTGTCCTCATACTATTTTACAGATGTACAAATCAAACAGCAAGGAAGTTCATGATTGTTGAGTGGAAGTGGGAGGAAGGAAAGGGAGAGGCGGAGGGGGAGCGAGAG